TCACACTGTCTTAAGGGAAGTGGAACGATGTATCTACTTTGAATTTTAAATTTCGCCTAAAGGTGAAACTCTATTCTCTTTTTTTCTTAGAGAATAAATAACGCATAGATGTGGTGACTTGAAAAGAATTTTTTCGTAATCTTGCTTTATTAGACGTTCCAGAATTTTCATAACTTGGAAGTTTCGCAAAATAAAGTAAGCATCAGTCGGAATTGCAGTGATAAATGGAGATTTTTTTGTAATATTTTGAAATCTATTTTCGGGATAAGCAAAAATTTAACGGATATAATTGTAACGAACTTTAAAAAAAATCAAAAAGCTATTTATTTTCGAATGGAAAGTCGGGGCTTAATTAATTCTCTAGGGGTTAATAAATAAATTTAACAAGGGAAAACAAACATTTCAAAACCTTGGTGTTCTAAATCCCTATAAAGGGGTATTACTGAATTTATGATTAAAAAAAATTAAAAATTGTTCGCAGAATCTATACTTTAAAGCACTTTCCATGTTTATCTTCATATTTGACATAATAACAACTTTGCTGTATATTCACCTGAATCAAGAGAAAATACATAATTTATATCGCATCAAGTTTTTTAATAACAGTATATTTTAGCAAAAATGTGTGAGAACGGATGATTTTTAAACGCTGGTTACTAGATATTATTATTCAGAAAGTCTAACCACGATTATGTATCAGTTACTGATCTAACGTTTTCTCTTGAATGCAAAATGAGATGGAATTGATTTTTTTTGTAATATTAATACTTAAAATTAATACTTGGGTTAAAATAATAACGTTATTTCTTGTCTTTAAACTATCTACACACCCCATATTTCCAATATCTACAAACAGTAAAACACATCAATTTGTGTTAGGGTGGCCAACAATGATAAAAGTTAGACCAAACGTCGATAAGTAAGAGGGGAAACGTGAAATAAAGATTTGTAACATCGAACATAATAGTTAAAGTTTTAAAACTAATGGCCTCATAGATCATAGCACTTCAGGCTTCGAGACTACAAATGGGGCTTAAAATATTTTCTTTATTTTTGTAAAGTTGAGATGTGATAGGTCACAGTGTCACTTCCGTCGTAAAAATAAAACTTCTGGAGAGAAGTAGCGGCTCACATTTATCATTTATCGATGTTTGCGACTGATTCTAGACCAGACATCTATAGACCATAAGACCTGAAATCAACTCAAATATCGGCTTAGTTGTTCATTATTTTATTTTAATTTTTGCAAAAGTAGATTGCTTAATAAATAATATGTTTATATGTATCGTAATATGTATTTTAACTTCCTCATAAATGATCAGAACGCATGAGACCCTCGGTACCAATATTTTTGTTGATAATAATTTATTGCAGTTGTTCCATCACGTGGTGAAAACATTGAAATTATCGAAGAAACAGTTTTGAGATATTTTTTCAAATAAAATTTTACTTTTTTGCGGGGGGCTTGTACGAGTATAAAGATGTCCCAGCAAGTTGAAAAAGTCCATTAGTGACCATTAAATAGTAAAATTTAAAATCAAAATATACAAGACATTAATGGATATTATTTTCAATCATTCAGCATGTCCCAAAAATAAGTTACCATAAAAACTTGTGTTTTTTTTTTAAATGAAACACCGTATGTTTCTTGGGATTTTTGGATGTAGCCTTTTAAAACAATGTTTTTACGCTAAACTCTTATTAGTCGATTTCGCCTAGTTTTAAAAATAACACGATTTTTTTGACGAAAATATGCACTTTTAAAAAAATTATTACACAAAAACTAAGACAGCTAGAACAAATTTTTTCTTACTTCTGCAAAGAAGAAAGTACAGAATTTAAAGCTGTAGCAATTTTTTAGTGTTTTGCATTTGTAGAGATTAATAAATATAAGAAATTTGTTAAAAGTTAAATAACTTAAAAAATTTAAATGGAACACCCTATTTTTTATTTTTGCATCTAATAAGTAGATTGACAAATTGTGTATATAAAAAAATAAACTTTTAATGTCTAGAATTGATAAATGAAAAGATACTTAACATTCAATTAATTGTAGCAACAATGCCTATCAATATCTGAGCATTGTTGATACTATAGTAATTCCACCACGGATTACTTATCCGTTGATTTATCCAGAGATTGTAAAAGTCGTTATAAATACTGAAATTTGAATTATTTTATTGTAAATAGAGAGAATAATGGATTCAGTTTAACACAAATGTGATTATTAAGTGATATTTCTTCCATCTCTTGTGCAACTGTGCACTTTTTGGCTACTGAAACAATAGTAATAATTTTTTTATGTTTAACGTTAAATATCTTTTTAGTTATTGATTATAAACACCTAAAAGTAAATAATTTTAGAAAGACAATTTAATAATCTTTTAAATGTAGAAACAATAAATAGGGTGTTCCATTTAATTTTTTTAAGGTATTGAACTTTTAACAAACGCCTTCATTTTTTTATCTTAGAAATGCAACACACTAAAAAAATGTTATAACCTTATAGGAAAAACGCTAAGAAACATGTGGTATTTCATTAAAAAAAAAACACAAATTTGTATTGTAACTTATTTTTGAGACACGCTGTATAGTTGAACATAATTTTAGGCGATGGACTAGATTAGTATCTATCAATGTCCTATATAATTTTTTTCTAAATTTTACCATTTAAAGGTAAAATTTAAGTCTATTATATTTGAACTTTTTCAAATATAATAGACTTTTTCAACTCGTTGGGACAGCCTGTATATTATGATAAATTTCTGACTACAACAATTTGATTTCTATTTTGTTAGCAACAAAGGAATGAATTTGCCAGATATATTAACCTAAAGTAAACCGACGACAATCTGAGAAGATTCTGGATTTAACTGAATGTCTCTCTGTTCACCGAACAATGTAGAACAAAGGTATTATTATTATGTGTATGTACATACCTGTTTTAGTGGGTTACCAAAGTTTATCCATTAATGAAGTTCAGTTTATCTACTATACTGGTTTTATACTTTTTTTGTATTTCTAATGCAAAACTTTTACAATTAATAACACCCAGTCTTGAAAAGCAACATATTATATTTACAATAAATTTAAAAATATTAAATGTTACTTTGGCAAAATCTCAGTTTAGATGGTCTTGTTAGTTAAAATATAGGTATTTTGAACTCGCAGAGCACATTTCAGGTAAACAAGTGTCATTATCAATTACTTGTTAAGTTCGTAATAATTTCCTGGTCGAGAAAAATAACCGAGAAATTAAATGAATTTTTAAAATGTGTTACAACAATCATTTCTAAAATGTTCACGTAATAGAGACAAAAAAAAACGTATCGTGTATAGGCAATGTAATTTATTCCGGAAAATTAATGGTCGACTATAAATTGCAACATTCATTAGTAGTGGTTTATTGTGAAAAAATTTTATTCTCCATTACGATCGATTTGTATTTTTCATTGTAATTTTCTTTGTTGTATGACAACGTACAATTTTGCCACATTATTCACGCTGGTCACCATTATAGTGATTGGCTCAATTTTCCTCATTTTGCTATTTTTACAGAAAAATATGCTTATCATTGTTATTAGTAAGGAGAATAATTATTCAAACAAAACACAAACTATCGTACTATCGTGCAAATGGTGGTAAATATAAATTTTGAAATCGTTTTAAAAATCATTGAAAATGTTAATTTTTAAATATACAGGGCAAAATTCTTAAAAAAGTGTTGTGTGCTGAAGGGGCTTTGCTAGTAGTAATTAAAAATTGGTGGTAAAAGTTGAGACACATCTGAAGCTTTCCACATTTGTGATAATATCCGGGAAAGCTTTCCGCAGGAAACCGATAAGAATCGCACGGTCTGAAGCAAAATCCTATAAAGATTTCTTAGCTGGTATTGTTTTATGCTGTTTTTGTAAACAGCAAAAAAGTTTCATCAACTCACGTTCTCTCCAATGTGTGCTGCTCTCAGTTTCTTTGCTCTTTCATAATTCCATCGACACGTGTCCGTTTTAACCACTCAGCACAAAACAGAAATGGTAAAAACATGCAATTTGCATTGCAATCTACAATTTTTTTCATTTACCGGAACAAAGTAAAAACATTTCCGTTCTGCATGAAGAGGTAATTTATGTCTGGTATAACTTTTAATTACCTACAGGCAACAATATGTAACGTAATAGTACTATTTTACAACGAACCGTATAGCAAATATCTGTATTTTACCATAAACAGTTAAATAATGGAATGTGTTAAAGCCTGAACTCGAACAAATAAGCGCTTGGTTGTGCAGTTTGCATTTATGTTAATGCTACTTTTCTAGGTAGAAAAAATATTTACAAACCGCAGTGCGTTCAGCACTCATGCATATTATTATCAAAGCAAATTTTTATGCACAATCAAATACATGAACTATGAAAAAACAAGGGGGAAAATACCAGCATATTACTGATTGTTTACAAAATTGTAAGTGTACCTTTACCTCCCACATGTGGAAGTTACATTAACCACTTAGGGAGGAAAAGACACTTTACACCACATCCAGTGTAATTAATACATATAATTTTTGCTACGATCCACCAAGGAAAAAATTAGGAACTAATTAACTAACAAGTTCTCTTGATATCCTAGATTTGCCATTTAAATATAGCAGCATGTTTTTCCGTTTCTATGGAGGAGGTATATATTTTACCTCCCTGAGAAGTTGCATACCTATATTTTTATTGTAATTTTGACAGATGAGGGAAGGTAAACATTTTACCTCGGTAAGGTAATTGGCAACTTTCTTTTCTGAAATTAGGATTAAGTATTATCAACAGGAAGTAGAGAGTGCATTTTGAATAAGAATGAAATAGATATACAAAAAACTACAACTTTTAGAGTTTTTTACGTTTTAATTCAATTTTTGGTATTTTTAACCACCTTGCAATTACAGAAGCAAAATAAAAATTAATTTTGCGAATGTGGAATTAAAGAATAATACAAAACTTTTCTTTCTGTTGCAGGAAAATTTGACAGCGTAGGTATAGCCACTGGCGTTCCAGATGAAAGCATTGGAAAAATACAAGCGCTGCGCCTTCATGTACATAGTGAAAGCGACAACTGGGCCATTCTGAGTGAAGTAAGTGAAAAGCATCATCCGCTTTAATTTTAATTAAGATCCAAAATTAATTTGACGTAACTAAGAGACAAACTATCTCGTAACCGGTTATTGAGGAAGTTCTGGAATACATTCGCATCACAGATCACTTTAATCTGTATTAGTTTGTTCTATCTTGCAGAAGGTTATTGCTTGTTCCACATCTGTTTGTTTTATATTATTATTAAAGATTAAGTATTATATTTCACGTCATTTAAGACTTGGACGTATTTGATTTAATTAACTTGTGTGTACTGTTATGCACCTTATTCTTCTTACAAAAACCATGAGAACCGGAGATAATCGTTAAAATCTATATAATATATAAAAATATTATTGATGTTATGCTAATTTGCAGTCATTATAAGTATTAGTCTTTTTATTACAGTACATATAAAACAGTTTTTTTTATTGGGGAATACTAGAGACTTGAATAAAATTATTATATGAAAGGAATCCACTTTTGCAAATACAGTTTCTGTGTTTTCTTTTGAAAACAATTTACAGAGTTCACACGGGACAATAACAGAGACCCTTGTGAGCATTTACTTATTTAGTTCGTATTATCTTTTGTAGGGATGGTCGACGTTGACCCAAACTTTTCCGCTTCTTTGAATTCAAGTAAATAAACTATTTAGTTACCTATAATATCTTCCAAATACTGTCTTACCTACAAGTGGAAATAAATATCGCTTTTCCAACTTTTTTTATTTTAATAATTAAATTGAATGAACTGAAATCACTTGTAATTTAGTAGCTTAAAGTTTTATAACATGTAGGCAAATTTTGAAGAATACCTATCTCAAATTTTTAGCATAGAGCATTAAATTCTCAATAATAAGAGATAAAGGTAATGTAAAAATTTTATTGAAACCTATATTTAAAAAAAATTCAAACATTTAGCAATTTGTGTCCCGTCTCATATTTTTGAAAATGCTGCGAATATGGTACAAGAAAAATATAAAAAAGAAAGTTGTAGAGAACAAAATTTTCAACAAAAAGTCCGCCAGAGATATCTCTATCTTCAATGGTTTAGGTCCTAAAGACGTTCAAAGACGCTGAAGTAACGAATATGTGTCATTTACAGGGTGTTTCACATAATTTTACGAGGCCTGCGCCTGTAAAATGCAATCAGTAATACATATTATACGAACTCGATTACAAATTTTGAAAAATTAGATAATCTTTTCTAGTTTGTTCACCCTTTAAAAAATTACAACAATTAGAATCATGTTCATGCCGTCTCTTGATAGAACAATAGATAATTGTTTCTGAAAAACTGCAGTTTATGACTATTAATGAAACAGTGATTAGTTTGACAAGTTTACAAAAATTGAATAATTAAATGTGTGTTTTTTGTATCCAGTGTTTTGTGAATTTTGTAAATTTGGGTGCGTACATCTTGAAACACCTTGTATACCGGTGGCCAAGAAACAGAAAATTAATTTATCTAAACGGTTGAAGATAGAGATATGGTCTCGCGGAGTTTTTTCAACCGTATTCGCAGCGTTCTCAAAAATATCGAAAACAGTATTAAAAATAAATTATAAACAATTATAAGTTTACGTCCCGCCCAAATTTTTGAGAACGCTGCGAATATGGTTAAAGATCCAAAAAAAGTGCAAGAAACAAAATTGTAGAGAATAAAATTTGCTACAAAAAAGTCCGCAAGGCCATATTTATATCTTCAACGGTTTGGGTTTAAATTGCTTTCAAGTGCTCCTCTGGCACTGAATCACCAGTAAAAATGAAACGAATCCGTCGCTTGAGCGGCTTTGAACGTCTTTGAGGCCTAAACTTTTAAAGATAGAGGTATGGTCTCGGAAACTTTTTAGTAGAAAATTATATTCTCTACAACTTTCTTTCTTACATTTTTCTTGTATCTTTAACTGTATTCGCTGCATCTTGAAAAACATGAAACGGAGCACGGATTTTAAATTTTAAATATTTTTTTCCTCATATTTTTCATGAAAAATTTAGTCGTTCGTTTTTCACAGCTTATTAAGAATGTAAAGCTCAACATTTTTGCATTTTTTTCCAAGCAATTAGTACACTGGTTGAATTTAAATTAATTTGTAACTGAGACGGTAAAACGCTCTAAGCGCCCTCATTTTTACTCCGCCGTACTACTTTTTTTGGGTCCAAAAAATCGAGCAGTTTTGTATCTCGTTTCGTCTTCTAGTATGTACAAAGTGGTTATAAATGATTTTCATTTAGCCAACTGTGAATTTTCCATGTGAAATAAAAAATGCCGCTTTACGTAAATAGGGGTACCTACTTGTTTTAACTCAAAATTAAAAATAGACCTCAATTACGAGTATAAAATTGTTTTCTTCCAAAGTATACATTATTATCAATTATTATTGGAAATTAGTTGAAACAATAAAAATTTAATTAACAATTTATTATTAATTAATAAGTGACACTAATGACAGAACTAGAGCGGCACAAATTTTCAAAGCTGGCTTGATGAAAATCATTTATAACCACTCTGTAGTTCTCCGTAGTTGCAACACGTTGCATAATATAGGTAGGTGGATTAAAGGAATTACTCAACCAAAAACATTTATATTTGTTGAAAACTGGTAGTTGTAGGTATTACATATTTCTCCGTTATTTCTAATAGCGGTGTAGTGTTTATTTTGTATAGACTATCTTCGTTACCAATTTGTAAGGTTTAGATTTAACATTTTTTAATTTCCTTCTCGAATTTTGATTGTTAGAGTCTCACACTTTGACCCTAACTGGGGATCGTATAGCAAGTGGTTTATTAAACAGGTCAGATCAGGTCTATAGCACCCTGTATAAGAAAAACATTTAAAAAATTAAACGATGCAAAAATGAATGTATGTGTTTTGAAAATTCTACAAAAAATCCCATTTTAATTTTAATCGCACACAGGACAACTTTAATATTTTGAATATTAAATCCTTCCTTTTTCCTTTTAATTTCAGATCCACATCCAGGACGAGTTGGCTACCAGGTGACCAGAAATGGGCGGCCGGGCAGCTCTTTTTTACCCCCACATTCGTCATCGCTACATGCTCGACCGCTCACCGTCGCACCCTCTGTGATATCCGAGTCGACAACCCCCAAACATTCTCAAACCACGCGTGCAATATTTGCTTATCGCAACCATGGCAACACTATCACAGCAATTACCTACTCTTGATTGTTTCGCATTGTTCCCACCGTGACTTAACTAAAGCCCTATTCAGCAGATTATAGGCTTACTACCCCCAGCTTTGAAGCCTCGCCTCTGACCACATCTCGATTGTTTCCTGTTTCCTGTGGCCTAATTAATTCTGATTCGTCGACAATCAATCACTCATTTTAGTTATTGGCCTAAGTTTGAATCTGCTGGATACAAAGACGACCTTCCAGGCCGCAACGAAGCCAACTTATGTACTCGTTTTAGATCTGATTTTTGCCATCGAGGTTTAACTAGTCCAAGTTTGGATTTTTGTAAATAGATATTTTTTCATGGTTTTTAATGCTCAGTATTTGTCTGTGTTGAAACACTTGCTTTCTGCAGATAACACAAAGAGGAAAACTAATTCCCTTTCTGTCAATAATTTTTTACCAGCGTACGTGTTTCAACTAAAATCTCAGTTAATTCCCTCAAATAAACGTTCTCCACATACGTGTAAACAATGTTGATGTCTGATTAAAAATATCTAAATGTTAATAATTGTATTCAAGTGCGTGATATTAATTTGACCAAATTTTTGACTCCTATTGGTTGCTAATAAGTTGTAGCATTAAGTCAGAGCCAGTCTCTTTGTATATTAGTTCCTTGTTGTGTGTTTTAGTTTGTTATTTATTTTATGAACCGATTATAATTAACGTACCTATTGTTATGTGTAAATAATATTTTAGTTATTTTGTTACAGTGTGATTTTTTTAAATATTATCTTGGGTTTGATTTTAACACATTTTAACATTAATTGTTGTTTATGACAAATAAAATCCACTAATAAACAAAAAACATCATTGTTAAAAATGTTAAATGTGAAATTGAGACTGATTGTAAATCAAATATTTAAATATAAATCCTAAGCATACGCTATGTTATTACTTTTATTTCTTAGGTTTATTCAAACAGGGACCATTTCAATTTCAACAATATCAAAATTATGATAATACAATTGTCAGCCAAAATTAACCTAATTTTTATTGCATCTAACAATTTTATTATCATGCGACAATATTTTCACTTGTGCTTAGTTGTGACTGAATGAGCAAAAAAGGAATTGTACTAACCATCCAAACATGTTTCAGTTTAATTTTCTTGTAGTAAAAATGTCGAAAATTAGACTGGAATTAAATGAGCCAAATTTTAGCACGTGTGTATGCCTGCCAATGTTTTTTATTATTAAGCCCACAATTGTATTAGACAGAAGTTAATAGAAAAAATCTCGAAATACTTACTTTTTTACATTATGTTCTGACGCGTGTTATATTTTTGTCAATCTTTTTTAATTAAACTATTATACAATTTTTTTGTTTATTTCCTGTTAACATTTTTCATTTGGCACAGCAAAACAACATTAAACTAAAACTCTAAATCTAATCAATCTCGTGGTGTCACAAGTGCTTTAAACGGCAAAGGTCCAGGCGTGACTCCGTCGATGCATTCGGTGGTGGGTGGACTTCCCGGAACGATGGAAAAGTTGAAATGTTGCAAAAGAGAAGCAGTGAATAAGAAAACGTTAGCTCGGGCAAGTGTTTCGCCCAAACATCTGTGTTTTCCGAAACCAAAGGGGAGGTAAGTGTCAGCTAAAGTGATTTTCCCATCTTTTAAATATCTCTCCGGTTTGAATGTTTCGGGGTCTTCGACGCCGCTCTCCGGCCCCATTAAAGTCCCATGCATATTTGCAATCACCATCGTGTCCTAAAATAACAAGTGTTAACGAAACAAGGACGTGTGAAAGTCGGCATTTACTTTAGGGATGATGTAGCCATTTAAATGCGTATCTTTGAAAGCACGATGAGGGACGGTGAAAGCTCGGCCGGAGAACATTCGCAGAGCTTCTAAAACTACACACTCCATATAGGGCATCCTAAAAATTGTACAAAATTGAGATATTAGAAAACACATAAAAATAAGTGACCGATGTTTTATTTTTGTTTCTTATTAATTATTATTAAAGAAATGAAGAAAAAGTAGTCAACAAATTTTCATTTTACAAAAAAATAACGATTTTTAAAGAAATACAACCATTATGAACGTGGCCGGATGTTTATTAAAAAATGTTATTAACAACAATTAAATCGAAAAACAATAAAATAAGATCCTCAGTTTTTTACAAAGTTTTCTGAAAAGACGAATATTTTAATATTTCTGTCATTCCCATATTCAAATTGATTACACATACAGGATGCGCCAGAACTCGCGCCCCAGAGAAAAATGGTACGACACTAGGAACAGACAAAAATGTTTAAAAAAATATATAAAAAAATTATAAAAACTTCGAAATTATGAGAGTTTAAATTTTGCACTTTGACTCTATTTATTTCTGTTGGAATACCTAGTATATTAAAATACAAGTTGCAGAAGGTATTCAAGCACAAATTTGAAATTACGAACCGAGCGGCGTAGCGGCGAGTTGAGGAGCAAATGATTGCTTGAAGAACTTTCTGCAACAAGTGCTTTATATTATTTTTTCTATTTTAATATAAAATTAATATAAATTAATTAATTAATTATAATTAATTTATGTGGAATAATTTTAGGCGGCTATAAAAAATAAAAATAATTCTTATTTTCACATTTGAATATGAATTGTGAAGGAAGTCCATCACTAAAATTAAGTTAACGCCAACGACTTATTAAAGCACTCAAATGACGTCATTTGTGCTGACACTGACACTGATAGCGGTGAAAAGGTGGTGACAGGGTTGACCACAATAGTTGACATTAAAAAAGTGTTTTTGATTATTGGAATTTCTTTTCTATAATTAAAATTAATGTAATTAGGTAATATTTGTGTTTCTTCTGTATAAATTCATAATTTATCGAACTAGCTGTGATATTTAGGTAAGTATGTATGTACATACCTACATGTATAAATTTTCTGTAGCGGAGGTTGTTTTTCTTATGTGTAAACATCACTCATTTTTTTTTGCAATTGGACATTTATTGAATGGATGTGATATCCCTAATGAAGGAAAGCAGCAAGAAAGCAAAACCTAATATTTATTAACTAGCAGTGTATAATTTTCAATTATTTCTTTTTATTGGAATATTTGAAAAGTTTGTTGTAACAACGGCAAACGGCTTCTCGTTCTCTTTGAGTGAGATGAGGTAAAGATTGTCCTGGTATTGTTGATCTCAAAACTTTGCTTAGTAAAAAAATATCCAGAAAAATTTATCTTCAAAAAGACAGGTCTTCTAAAAGGAATAAACGTGGAACATAACGGACAATAGGAGAAAAAAAGCACAAAATCTATTAAAAGCGACAATTGTCACAAATTTTGAAACGCAGTATATATTTCCCTATGGACGTTCTCAGCTGTACTTATTCTAGATAAATCTGACGGACTTGATCTAGTAATCGTTACTCCAAGGTCCAATGTAATTTCTATGGTTCTATCATCCACAGTGATGAAATTCTGCCCCGGTACTTGAAATCTATGTACCTAATCCATTTGGCATACATGGAATTATTGAAGCATTTTGTTCTGTGTCTAAATATTTCTGCATACACTAATAGGTACAGTTACGGAATCAAAATTTCGGGCAGTATTTCTCTGTCACTTCAAAAAGTTCAATGTAAACTACCTTTTACTGTCATCATGACATTCATGACTGACAATTAAACTTTTCTGTCAGGGACTATTTTTTAAGTTAAAATGACATAAACATGACAAGAGTAAAAAATGAGGTTATTAATGTAAAGGTTGTTTTAGAGTTTACATTGTGAAAATGATAATACTGCCCGAAATTTTAATTCCGCAACTGTACCACTATTAATTTTAGTTTCAGCATTACCGATAAAAGATGACATCGTGTCGCGTTTACGTTTTAAACTGATCTGGAATTGTTTTAACTACTCAATTAAGTGAATTGGTACCCAATATCACTTATCTTCAATTTCTTGTATGTGAAAAAAGATGCAAAATATTTGAGTGATGTTTACACATAAGAAAACAATCTCTGCTACAGAAAATTTATATACTTACCTAAATAGCACAGCTAGTTCTATAAATTATAAATATATACAGAGGAAACAAAAAGATTTTCACGATGTTGTGGCTGTCATTTGTCACCTTCCAAGGAGGTAAAAATTTTCCTCTCTCATCTATCAAAATTACATTAAAAATATATGCAACCTCTCAGGGAGGTAATAATTTTATCTCCCCCTTAGAAACGGAAAAACATGCTGCTAGATTTAATGACGAAATCGAGATAACAAAAAACTTTGTTATTTCATGTGGTTGCTGGTTCGTAGGAAAAATTATATGTATTACCTTAGAGGAAAGTGTCTTTTCCTCTCTTGTAACTTATAACTATAAAAACCGCTCGGTTCCATACTTTTTATTCATCTTGTATTTCACGAGTAGGACTGTTTATTTTTCATTTTCCTACAAGATATGTAACGAAAAGATGAGAACAAAAAGTAACATAACACTCCCCATGTCAAAATAACGCGATTTAACCCAACTTACCAAATTACACTGTTCAAAATTTAGGGTGTGCCAAAGTTTAAAATTTATTTTCGTTTTTATTAATAACTTTTTAATTAAGGAATCGAATTTTATGAAATTTAGTAATATAGGCAATTCGCTGTCAAAACCACATGTTTTGGTTCTGTTCCTTGTGTTTTATTATTATTGTAAAATTCTTACCTGTTATTAGAAAGATACATCATTTAATGATGTTAATTTTTGTATTTTATGACATTTTTGTACCGGCCTTAGTTTTAGAGTAAAAAAAATTAAATAGACGTGTCAAAATTTCGTACGTTCGCCAATTTCTATTATTGTACTTAAACTTGTGTCAAAAAATTTTAGGTTTTTGTTTCTTTATGTATATTTGTGTTAGTTATTTCAAAATAAAATGTAACCGACTCAATAATTTTTGATTGCTTCAAGACGTTCCACAACAAAATTGATCAAAATTAAGCGAAAAACGAAAAGTTGAACTTACTGCGGTCGGTCTTCCAAACTTGGAAGTCTGTTACGTCCTATGACGGCGTCGATTTCTTGCTGCGCTTTCTTCTGGACATCTGGATACATTATCAGGTTCAAAAAGCAGAAACCGAGACTTTTACTTGTCGTTTCCGATCCGGCCATAAACATATCTAAGCAAATTGCCAAAAGTTGCTTCTCGCAGAAGCTCTCTTTGCACTCGGGTGAGTTGAGCATTTTCAGGTACACGTCCATGAAGTCGCGCAAATTGTTTTCATCCCAAGTTTCCTTGTGTCGTTTCAGTTCATCGTACAAAAACTCCCATAGTTGGAGATGTGTCTCCACGTACAGTTTGTATCCCGAAATTTCAGGAGCGATGAATTTCAAAATCGGGAATTGGCTGAAAGGAGCCCCCACCATATCGACTGTTGAAAACAATCTCCCCAGAATGTCCTGAAGACTTTTCAGGTTTTTATCTTCAGGACTGTACCGAATCCCGGCCATCATCATCCACAGAGTGTTCAAAATGTGGATATTGAACGCTGATTCCATGTTTAATATCACTGATTTCTTCCCAGCGAGCATTTTTTGGTAACTTTCAACCATAATTCCTGTCTCTTCCTCGATCATTGACGACATGTTTTTGCGCCCAAAACCAAACTCTCTCAACTGGCGCAGAATAAATCTGCGTTGCTCTTGCCAAAAATCACTGTCAGTCAATAAAACTCCTACAAACAGTATTATTTTTTAAACGATTTGGAGTAAAAATAATTTACCTCGTCGTTCGCCCCAAGTCCTCATGTCGAAAAATGGACCAGTGGGCCTCCCTGCTAAATCGTCCGAAGTCAGAAATTCGCGGATTTGGTTTTTACCATAAACCACTACTACCAAATCTTTTCCCACTCTTAAGCCAATCACAGGTCCATATTTTTCGGCCATTTCGGCGGTTGCTTTGTATAAATAACCGGCCTTTTTTCGCCATTCTTTTATAGTGTGGGCACTGCCTATGATTGGTAGCCATGACGGTCCCGGAGGATAATTCTTTGGTTTTTTGGTGTCTAAATAGGCCAATAATCCTAGGATTATCACAAAGAACCCAATCGCAACCAACATATTCTGAAAATTTCAATTTGTTACTCTTGTTTCTSTTCTTTGTAATTAAGGTTCAACACTTTCTATAGTACTTTATAATAGACTTATTAAGTAATACGTTGATAATTCCATTTTTGTAGAAAAAAACTAAGATAATTAGAAAGTTATTCTGCAATACATGTAAACTTTAAATTCGAAAATTGTGGAAAATTACCATAGTAACAAAATTATGATAACAAAATACAACAAAAATTTAGATTAGTTAAATTCTTTAGATTTTTTATAAAAAATAAATAACCGTCAGTCACATACAGGGTGCGCCAGAACTCGCGCCCCAGAAACTAATTTCAAGTAAGATAAGATACCAGGAACATGAAAAAAATGTTTAAAAACTATATGTCAATTTTTTTGTCTATTTAATGATACTGTTGATCTTGTATATGTTTTTTATGATTATTTAGTAAAAGTACAAATATTTTGCCAACAAAAGCCACAAATAACATTAAACAGAGTTACAATTTAGAATACAGCTTTCTTGTATCCTCTTCTAAAAGCCTGTAGCAAAAAAACTTGGAAAATTATTTTTCCAATAGAAATAAATAGAGTCAAAGTCCAAAATTTAAACTCTCATAACTTCGAAATTTTTATAGATAGAATTTACATGGTATTTTTTCTCTGGGACACGAGTTCTGGCGCACCTGTATACTTTTTCAAACAGCAGATTGTACTTTTTCATTAAAATCATCAAAGATAAACACATCTCCATCAAATAAGTCATTCGAAAAAAAATAACAATAAATGATTAAAATTTTAATTATTAGAAATTTTGAAAAATGAAATAAAAAAATTACGTTCTATTACAACGTGTAATGTTTTTCTTAAAAGACAATAATGTTCACCACATTTTATTATTATTATCATTATTATGACAGTTAATTGACTAAAAAGAAATAAAATTCAAAGAAATAGAACTTTTTTGCAATTTTTTTTGTAAATAGCAGCAATATCCATTATGAAAAAAGCAAAACAAATTTAAGAAAAATTACTATACACATACAACAGAACTTCTACAAAATTATGTAGAGGCAATTGTTTAGTTTTAAGAATGAAATAGTCTTTTCCTAATTCCGAGCGTTTTTCAGCCATTACACTAATCTGAGCCAATTTCGAACGATTCAGCTTATTTAAAAACTAGCAACTCAATTTAAGCGGTAATTATACCGAAACTGATTAAAAAATAGTTGTTTAAACCCTGAAGTTTAAACTTATCTTATTTTTATGCCAAAAACTTGAAATTTCGTCGAAAAAAAGCAGAAAATTGTCGTTTTAGGTTTTTATTTAAGTCAATAACGGGCCGTTTAGCTTGATTATGAACTAGAAACTCAGAGATCTTGTCGAAACTGGCCATAAAATTGTCTTTTAAATATTTTAGTATTCCACGGTTGCATTTTTACAAAATTATAAAATCGCGGAAATGCATTTGCAATCCATTAACCTTTGAATGACTTAATGTGTTCGTTTTTTTCCATAATAACACATTCCAAATCAATGAATGAAAGTTTATGTAATCGAATTGATTACCAAAAGTCATTCATAAATATTACGAGTCTCAGACAGGTTTTTATAACAGTAGAGTAAAATGAAAGTGATTCTCGACTGCCCGAACAAAAATATCGTAATTTTGGAGACATCATAAATTCGTAARCCTCATGAGGAAGTTATTTTATTTTATCAAAACAATTTTCTCTTTTGATTCAACATTGACTGCATTTGGATTTGTTATATATTTCTCTTATTTGTKGGTAAACTGTTGTGCAATGTAAAAAAGGAAAGTAATTAAATGCCGAACCCAAACACTTTTCCGCGTATGTCTGACTGAGATCGCTGTGGATTTTATCTTCGGAACAGGAGAAAGTTGTCAGAATCTGAACAGAATTATATAATAATTATCCGGGAAGTATATTGCACAAAGACGAGAAGCTACGTGACTAGCATTTTTTAACGAGAAAAAAATTATTTCAGCGCAAAAGAGGATAGCAATTTTTGGCACCACTGAAACTGATTTATGTTGAAACAAAACTATTAATAAATTATTTCATACATGATATTAATTTTGTTTAAATAAATTTATACTATGTAACTAACAAATAAAAAGAATATACAGAATATAATATACAGAATGTTAAAAAAAGATTGTAAAATATTCAAGGAGGTAATAGTATAGACCAAAATAAATAAAAAAGACTGCCTGCAAAGTAACGGTTTTGGAGATTTTTGTTTGAACAGATTGCAAATAAATGTTTCAAAAAACGAATAATCTTCGAGATCTCCGAAACAGTTACTTTGCGGACTCATGTTTATTAAGACTATTTTGTTTGTTTRGGTCCATACTATTATATGTATACCTCTTAAAWTATTTTACAATCAACACCCTGTAGAGAAACGGAAGTATTTAATTCATCTTACTTGATCTTAGTTTTGAACTTATCCTGTCTCAGGTAAAATCACAACACCRAAACCTTTCACGTCGGATACKGAGCGATCTCACTTTGTACTTCCTCATATAGCATTTCTCCCACTAATATAATTTAGGTAATATTCGTTTTCTTAGAAAATAAAAAGTTATTTATTAATATAGAGCAGATTACCTTTTATCCACCTATTTTCAGATATTGAATTGCTTAATAAACATTTTTTTTTGTCTTTTTATTTCTTTCTTCAATATTAATAATATATAATAATAATAATGATTATTATTATAGAAAAAGTTTTCGGAGAGTTTACTAGTAAAAGTTTAAATTTCAAAAATTTTGACTTTCCGACTTTATTTAAAACTTTTCTAAGATGTGAGGAATTTTTCAAAAATTACGTAATTTTTTAATGAACTGTCCATAACTTTGCGGAAAATGGGCCAAATTAGTTGGTTTTTGTCAAAATTTTTGCTATTAAACCTAGGTATATTTGACAATGTTTCAATTTTCAAGTTGTTTAACTATTTTTGTCGCCGAGCATTATACAGGGTGTTTCACATAATTTTACGAGGCCTGCGCCTGTAAGATGCAATCATTAATACATATTCCGATACAAATTTGGAAAAATTGGATAATCTTCTCTAGCTTGTTCACTCTTTCAAAAATTATAACATTTTTAGTTAGTTGGTGATTAATACAGGGTGATTCCTAAAGAGACCGACAAAATTTTATCCTTGGTAGTATCAAATGAGAACATGCTGGAAAAAAATATTTAAAAAATTCTTTGTCTAAGCGTTCTCCAAATAAAATTTATTAAATTTATTTTCGAGGTAAAGCGTACGCCACTGATGTGTTCTGGAAACCATGGTATTAATTTGATTGATGAAAATGTACTTGATCATTGCAACAATTCATAAACGCCGCAAGTGGCACGGATCAAGGGGTTTCTGCCCCTTGAAAATATAAACGTAAAAAGGGTACAAATTGTCTCCACTTATTCTTGAGAAGCTCTGATAAAATTTTGTCGGTCTATTTAAGAATCACCCTGTATAGATAAACTAGAATCATATTCATGCCGTCTTTTGATAGAACATATGACAATTATTTCTGAAAAACTACAGTTTATGACTATTAATGAAACAGTGATTAGTTTGATAACTACTGTCATGAGTTTCCAAAAGTTAAATAATTAAATGTGTATTTTTTGTATCTAGTGTTTTGTGACTTTTGTATATTTGGGTGCTTACATTAGGCGCAGATCTCTTAAAGTTGTGTGAAAAACCCTGTATTTTAGAAAATGAGACGTCGTACTATAAATGGAAAGTTGGCATTTTTTGGTTTAGTAGCACCCATAAGAATAAAAAAAGCATGTCATATTTCGATCAATATTGTGTAAAAAAAAAACGTTTATTTGATCACTTCAGTGAAGCAGACTTGTCTCATAGGATTTTTTTGTCTCGAAAAACGGTGCCCCAAACGGGGCGCTTTGTGAGGAGAACTCTTTGTTTCATTGTCCGGCGATTTTGTCCCCGTTTTGCAGACGAGAAGTTGCGTTTCAGACGGCCATTATAAACAACCTGAAAATGTATTTCAGAAAAAAACACCTCGTGAACGATTTTTAACTCGAATTGTATTTTTATAACTTTTGGTATTAGAACAAAAAAATGAGACCTTGTCTGATAAAAATTATGTTTTAAGTTTCATTGTCTCCGAAAACAAGAGATTTCTGCTGTTATATTTTTTATTTGGAATATTACAATAAAAAGACGTCAAAAAAGTTAGGTTTGTCGCCATTTTTAAAGGTGGCTAAACCGGTGTATCTGCATTTTGTTTATTTCTATGTTCAATAATGTTACTTCGTGACCAAACCAAAAAAGACCTAAAATCATTCATTTTCATGCGCCCCAAAAATACCAGAAATTGGTCAATTGTCATTTGAAAACGACAAAAACATATGAAACAACCAAAAAAGTTATTCAGCACCCTAAAATGATGGCTGTTTACTTCTAAATCAGTCCATTTGGCACATGCAAAAAAATTTCACCGGTCGGAATGGCGACCGCTAAAAATAATTGACAACTAAATTGCCTTGTTTTCTTCATTGAAAAACGAACGAAAAAGAGCCAAAAATATTTTATTTCTAGACCAGAAAGTTAGGACACTTAATAAAAAAAAATGTGTCAATAGTCATGTTGACTGAATATTTCATCGGTTCCAGTTAATGTGTTGAATAGACCTCTAGATGTTGTAAGGACCAGAAGGTGTGATTGAAACAAGTTTAATTTACACTGTGGAAGTGCGGTTACTGAAATTCAAGAATATTAAAGGAAAAGGGAAAACTTGTAACAGGAATAGAATCAAAACACTAGCTAAACTGAAGGAGGAGCTTTGGCGATTAAAGCTCCAGTAGAAGAATCTCCAATTTCAAGTTTAGTCTCTGAACCTGGGAAACCCTCCACTGGTGATACAATGAATGTTGATGCGCCAAAAAGTGGCCCAATTATCAACCCCAATTGTGAATGTAAACAATGTCCAGTTTTAGAATTAATGGAGGCTAAAACGGCGAAAGATATTTTATAATAGAAAGGAAAACACGCACAGCTAACAATTTCATTGTTTTCAGAAATAGATAAAAAGATGAAATACTTGATCAGCAGGTACCACAAATAACAAGGGTTGAAGATGTTCCTGAAAACATTGTTGCGACAATTGAAGCAACTCAGGTTGAAACTGAAGGTGCTGCAGGTTGTGAAGATTTTGTCTTTGTCTTTGCATGTAGAAAATAAAAGCAATCTTGAAAAGATTGCACACCAAATAAAGAACCCAACAATTCTTAATAAAAATAGTGTTTGTAGTTTGTTGTATTAAATAATGAATGTTTTTTCAATACAATTTCTATTTTTTCGCCTTTGCTATCGCTTTTTACTGCACAGTAAAAACTGTTTATTGGTATTTAGAAAATCAAGTCAAAATTTTGATGGAAGAAAACAAAATACTAAAGTCTGTTTTTTTTTTTAAATGGAAATTACCAAGTCAAAATTTTGGTGAAAAAAATGATAGCAGCTTGTCTCCATAGTCACAAATTTTGTTTGCTCTTTGTTTTTGTCCCCAGAAATTTTGTTAAAAAATTATGGTTATGTTTTCAAATTGAGATGTTGTCAAAATTTTAACTTTTATGAATCTTGTGTACCTGTTTGCTCTTTGAAAGCGCTATAATTGGATACCTGAAGACATACATCATTACCTAAGGTCTAAAGACCGAATTCAGTGCTAACAATTTTGATAGAAACACACCGCAAGTAAGTTGTGGACAAAAAAGAGGTTCTTGCTACAAAAACTTTAATGAAAAAGGATGTGTATACACAAAAAAATTATTCAGCAAAAGATACAAGTAGGTATTATGATGATAGGCAATAAATTTTGTGTAATTTATTGAAATGAGCTCAAAGTTGATGCGATTTATAAATTCTTCAGCTTTAGTTTCAAAATTGTTACTTTTTCAACTCGTTTCTCAAAAACGATGCACAAGACATTAATTTAATTGCGTTCTTTCCGAGGTTCTTTCTCATTCATGTTTATTTTGTATTCTTGTCAATTTCTTGTTAAAAATTGAGAATGTTTAGCAAACCTGCATTACAAATTGCGTCTACATTTTAACAGGCCCTTTTTCAAACTTTCTGCTTGCGAACTATTCGTTTTCAAATTTCTAAAAACTGTTAGCAGTACCGAATTTGTTCCTTTTTTGATGTTTCTTCTCTAATTTTCTTACACGATTTTTTGTGTTGACGTTTAATGACATTGTTTTCAAATTAATTCAAAAAACCGAAACTGCCAACTTCCTTTATTAAAATTACCATGAATGAATTTACTAGTGGTGCCAACGTTGACTGTTTGGCATTTCCATTAAAAAAAAAAACAGACTTTATAGTAGATTTCATTGAAATTGGCATAATAGGTGGCTATGGAATTTCGTATTTAAGTTTGTAGCCCTGCGCATGTCCCTGATATAACAGCTGATGGYCTGATTAAAAAAAAAAGAGTTACAGAAGAGTTGAAAAATTTAGAAATAAACTAAACAGCAAATTGAGTCGAAAATGGTGCTATTTTTGTCTTTTTAAACGCTGTAGTTTTTTCACGAAATTTCATTAAACAGGCCGAAAAACCACCAAATTCATTTTTTTTTTGTAAAAAATGCCAAAGTTATTTTTTACCTTTTTCTCAAGTACCTATGTATTTAACTCCGGTTTTGAACCCAAAACTCGTTTTTTGCAAAAAATTACCAAATTTGGTCAAAAGTTGCATTATTTTGCCATTTATCGACCTGAAACAGATTAAGTCACACCGACCAGTTACCCTCAATTACAGTTACCTGTAAATAATTGAAATATTTATCGGCCAAGTCTCTGAACGCTGTACATCTTATTTCACCACTTTCGTCCAATAAATCAAAACTAAATAATTTGCCTTCGCCTCGGGAATTCGACCACGACCGCATTTCAGACTTACTCGTGACTCTTTTTTATCACCCATTTGTTGTGATAAGGGGTGAGGGAGGAAATTTGACTCAAGACTCCAGTCTCAGAAATGGATTGATTCAAAGACGTAGATTGCTGTCTCGAGGGTGGTTCCGTGGTTGAAACCTCACGTGAGAGAATTTCATCAGATATAGGCTGGGGGCTAGCAAGTTCTTTACCAATTTGAGAACCAGGAACAATCACGTCTGATTCCGTTATAAAAAGTAATTTTCTACAAATAATTATATTATTAATGATGAAATTATATACCAAGACTTACTTTCTTGGCATTTTTGAATGCCAACTTTTCAATTTAAATGTTTTTAAGCTAAACTCTTATTAGTCGATTTTGCTTAGTTTTTGAATTAATTTGTTTTTTTTTTTGGGCGAAAACATCCTTTTTTTTTTAAATAAATTCATTACACAAAAAGTTAACAGCTGGAAAAAAATTACCACTGTAAAGAGGAAAGTACGAACTTTAAGACAATAACTTTTTTTAAGTATTGCAGTCGAAAAAAAGATGTCAAAGCTTTAAAACTTAAAAAAATTAAATGGAACACCCTATTTTTTATTTTTACATCTCATAGACTAATAAATTGTCTATTTAAAAAAAATTAATGTCTAGAATTGATAAATTAAAAGATATTTAGTTTTAAATGTAGCAACAATATTCATACCAAGGCAACCATAGTAATTCCATCACTGATCACATTGTTGCATTAATAAACCTACTTTTACATATGTAATTTTATTACCAAATTTGGAAGTACAAGCGCATAGAAATAAATAAAACCATAAGATTTTATTTACAGAAAAAATCTTACAAACGTTTAATTTTGATATGAGATAAATAGCAAGTAATGGAATGAATATGTACAAAATAATCTACAAACTAAACAAAAAAGTACACAACGAAACACAGATTATTGCATTGAATAATTACGATATTACGTTAACATTGTACAAAATGTTTTATCGTTTGAAACATAAGCAAACTTCCACTTCATTAGTTATAAAAGTGAATTCAGTTTTTTCTCTTAAAAAATACGATTTCAAAATACAATAAAACTCTGTATTGAACGGCAGAAAAAATAATTAACTATTGACGACACTTATATTTAGAATACTGAGAAGTATGTCACGGAGTTGGTCCCGTATCTTTCTTCATATCGTCAATTGTGTTGGCTTTACTGTCTTCTTTCTCTTCTACACAAAAAAGAAAGAGTTAAAAATACAACCAAACAAGCACAAACTAAATTACCTTTTTCTGACTTCAATTCTTCTTTTATTTTCTCGTCACCTGTTGATTCTTTCCCATCAACCCCCTTTTCTAACCGCGGTCTCTTCCTGCCTTTGTAAGTGCGATTATCCCTTCTTCCTCCTTCTCCTTCATCCTCACTGTCGGAAAACTCATTTTCTGGCACGATTCTCTTATCGAGATCTTTCTGAGGTAGTCTCTCATCTTTGTCAACTTTATCTTCCCCGTCGGATTCTTCATTAATAGCATCCTCAGGAATGGCTTGAACTTGCACACCTGGTGCGTGAGGCAACATCCTCAGATTTTCAAACAAGCGCGTTTTGATTTTATCCAAATACTCGGGGGTGTTTTGATTGGCCATATTGCTAGGACTGATATGTAGCTTAAAATCAGGACCAAAGTACTCGAAGTAGTCGTTATAGGGGAGTTCGTTGGCGATTTCCACCCCCAGAGCGACGGAAGTTTCGTAAGTCCACGCCCTGGAGACGTTTCTAATGGTGTATCCGCCGCCCCCGACCATCATAAATGGAAGATTGTACTTCTTGACGAACTCCACGCACTTGCCGTGGCCTCTCACTGTGAGGTTAAAGCAACCCAAGCGGTCGCCAGTCAAAGAATCAGCCCCGCATTGGAGGACCACAGCGCTGGGTTGGAACGTCTCCATAACCTTACTTATAATCGGAACAAAAATCTTCTCGTAGGACTCGTCATCCATCCCGTCACGAAGTGGAATATTGACAGCGTAGTATTTGCCTTTYCCGGCCCCAATGTCTCTGAGGTCCCCCGTCCCGGGGAAATACTCCCCGTACTTGTGAAACGAAACTGTCATCACCCGATCTGTGGTGTAGAAAGCCTCTTCGACACCGTCACCGTGATGCACGTCAATGTCGATGTACAACACGCGTTGGTGGTACTTCAACAGCTCCAAAATGCCCAAAACAATGTCATTTACGTAACAAAAACCCGAAGCTTCCGATTTCTTCGCGTGATGCAAGCCCCCACCCCAATTGATGCAAATTTCAGACGCTTGRTTGTTCAGCTTGACWGCCGCCGCGACGGAGCCCCCGGCTGAGAGTTGGCAGAATTCGTACAGGCCGTCAAAGACAGGGCAGTCTTCACCAACGTTAAATCTCTGCATTTGTTTGTTGTACTCTGACATGTTATCGGGTCGGATGGACCTGAGAAATCTGATGTAATCATCCGAGTGAAATTTGGTCATTTCTTCGGCAGTGGCTTTATGGGGGCGCTGAGAAAATTAATTATAAATTGTTACTAACACTTAAAAATTACTCACATAAATTTCCATTTTTCTGTAAAGGCCATAATTGAGGAGCAAATTGTGGGTCATCCTTATGCGGTGGGGTTTCATGGGGTGTCCTTGGCCATAATAATAATTTCCAATATCACCTAATCAAATTTTTTGTTATAAAAATTGATATAAAAATTCACGATGGACTAATAGTATTTAAAATCGTACAACCGTACAAAAAAGCGTCATCATCACATCGTAAACTAAGATGGCCAATCAGCGTCGAGTAAAAATACGGCGACCGTAGTCTATCGTGAATTTGTGGGCTTACGGTTTCGAAAATCGTATTTACATGATAGCAAGATATGACATAAAAATTAGCAAACTCATGCATTATTTTGGTGCATTCCTAAAGAATATGCCTCGAAATGGTGGAATAATTGGTGGTTGAGAAAAATTGGTGTCTACTTACTGTCATAATAATAACAAACACGTTTTCTACTGTGAGGTTGTGTAGCCATCTTGAAGTTTGAAAAATTAAATTCTTCTTAATTTGTTTGGTTTTTCTTAATTACTAGTCACTTTTCACTTTATATCAATCAGTTAAAAATATTATAATTACGGCGGTAGCACAACACGCCGCTTTGCAAATGGCACCGTTGTTCCCGCAGCATTGGTGCCAACACTACGCTGGTGACAATTTTGTGCAAACATCAAATTCCCAATTTATTTTCTAAGAAATTATTTTAAATAATACTGACAACAACACAGATTATGCTGTAATTATTATTAACGCTTATTGATAAAATAAAGAAAAAAAAATGCTTAAAAACAGCTTAATTAATTAACTGATTGTATTGTTGGTTGCATAACCCGCAAGGTATTTTTTATAGAAAACCAATTATTAAAAAACTGCACCAATAATAATTACTCGGACTCGGATTATATGCACAGAAACTCCGTCAAATATGCTCATATATATGCACGTATTTTTACAACAATATGCACACAATATTCTACATACAATATATGCCGATATGCWAAACTTTTAACAATAAAAAATCAAAGTTGGGATAATATTTTATCCTTCAGTACAATAAACTTTGTATTTTCCAAACGTTTTTTGCTTAAACTATTAATGGTGATGGTTTATCAAGAATAAAAGTTTTCAAAATTTTGTTTTGTTTTTGAGTTCTACAAAAATATTTATTTTTTTTAAATGGCAACCCACTAAAAAACCATTTTTCTCATGGAGGTTATGAAAGATTATACAACTATCTACTTTATATTAAATTTTTTCAAAACATTTTTTTATATTAATTGCACAGAAAAAATCGCTTAACTCAAAAACAAAACAAAATTTTCTTCTCAAAATACGATCACATTTGTTATATTAGTTTAATTTATACCTATAATTACATATTAATTATTATTTTCTGAAAGCAAATGATTTAAAAAAAACCGTTTGGTTCCATACTTTATATTTACCCTGTATAAAACGAATCAGAAAAAGAAACACTCAGCAGAATACTAATTCTTTGAGTTCGGCGATTTACCGGTTGCTTTCTCTTTAACATATTTCTAATCCGATCATTTTTCTTAAACTGTCCAAATTTTTAATCTGAACTAAAATTTTTAATCGAAGATCTGTGATTTGAAGAAAATATGCAATATTTCCTAAAATATGCATTTTTTAATTGGCTTATTTTAATCAAAAAACATTAAATATGCATAGAAAGCTTATAATTTTGTTGATACACCTCTTAATAACAAATATGCATTTTGCATATATTCCGAGTCTTAACAATTAATTAATTACTAATAACAATATGAAAAAGAATTTTACTTCGTAATTCAAAACCAGAACTCCAGTTTTTTAAGTTTAAATTAACAACATATAAACAGAACAATTTTTTATTATCATTAATTTTCATTTTGTAATTCATTCACTATACATTGTATTACACTGCAAATAAATGTTTAATAATAATAGTACAATTATAAAAACAGTCGCGTTCGGTAAAAACACAAAATGTCTCAAGTAAAATCTCTAGTGAAATAAGTAAAATACACAAATGTGAATAAAAACTTTCATTACACGACTCTCGCAACACTATACTATACACAAAATTTACAAGTTAAAATAATAAAATAATAATAACATAATCAAAACATAATCTATTTGTCTTTCTTAATAGGCAGTAACGCTGCTGGTGGAGCATAACACTTGTTTTTCTTGGCAGAAGTTTTTATCTCCTTGACTTTAGCAGCAAACCTTAGCGAGTTTACACTTTCTCCAAAACATTCTTCAAACGGTGAGATATTAACAATCATTAAAGTTTTCGAATTTCCACCTAGACACGATTGTAGCAAAAAGGTAAGTTTAGAGTCCCGGAAGGGCACATGAGCGTCCTTATTATGTAGTGCCAGCATAACATTTCCTAAAGTAGACAAACTTTTATTGATACTCTTAGTCTCATTCAATCGCTCAGCAGATGATGTTTTCGCACTTTCTGAACCAGCCAAATCCACGAGATTTATTGATGCTGCATATTTCGCTCTACTCAGAGCGTTGTATCCTTCAAGATGAATTTTGGTAACAGCATGCGATCTTGAACTGTGTTCGTTGAAGTCCGTATTGGCCACTGCCCTGTTCTTATGAGCTTCCTCCATTAACGACTTGAGCATATGAGCTGAATCAATCGGAACAATTTTCAAATTTGTTACCGTAACGCCCCGACCTTCGTTGTAACGCAGTTCGTAATCATAGGCACTGTGCGGTACCAGCAAGTCCTTTATGTTCTCGTTGTAAATTTCGAGAAAGCTCGCGGAAACGGTGTASTTCCATTCGGCAATTTTCAGTTTTTCGATTTTCTCAAAGATTAGGTCAATAGTGCGTGGGATCATACCTAAAAAATAAGAAAAATTAAAACTTGTCTCAATTTTTTAAGCAACATTGCACTTATTACTTAAGGTATAAATAAAGAAGGCTTGTACACCTGATTTAACAACTAAGATACTGAAAATTGATTAGTTGCGGACTTAAATAATGACATTTTGTTCATTTTCCAATGATTTCAYAAAAACTTGCCGTTTCTTTCTTTCAATAGCACAGGGTTAGTATCCCAAAAGCAACTAATATTGAGTAATTCCATGCCAAAATAATCACTTTTAAATATCATTGTTTCTCATTTTCGTAAAAAGATATGTTATAGAACGCGTGCGCCAGAACTCGCAGCGCAGAGAAAAATTTCATGTAAGATGATATTTGGCAATTTTTATGTCTATTTAATGATACTGATGATGTTGTATTTGTTTATTTATAATTATTTAGTAAAAGTACAAAAATGTTGCTAATAAAAGCCACAAATGCCATTAAACAGAGTTACAATTTAGGATACAACTTTCTTGTATCCTCTTCTAGCAAAAAACAGAACTAAATAAATAACAACAACAGAAATAAATAAAGTCAATGTACAAAATTTAAAATCTCATAACGAAATTTTTGTAGATAGAATTTTTTTAACATTTTTTCCATATTCCTGGTYTCTTACCTTACATGGCAATTTTCTCTGGGGCGCGAGTTCTGGCGCACCCTGTATATGTATTGTATTATTATACCGTTTTTATTTTTTCAATGTATATTAGAAAAACAGGGATGTAAGTACCTCGAAGCAAAAAACATTATCTTAAAAACAAATAAACATATTGAAATGATTTTTGTTAAACAATAGATACACCGTGCGGCAGAACTCGCGCCCCAGAGAAAAATTTCAAGTAAGATAAGACACCAGGAACATAGAAAAAATGTTTGAAAAATTCTATCTATCAAAAAAATTTGGTCTTTATATTTTGACATTTGACATTTTTTATGGTACTGTTCTTATATATGCTTCTTTTATAATTATTTAGAAAAAATGGACACAAATTTTGCCAATAATAGAGACAAATAACATTAAACAGAGTTACAATTTGGGATACAGATTCCTTATTTCCTCTTCTAATAGTCTGTAGCAACAAAACTTGTAAAATTATTTTTTCAAAAAAAAAAAATAAATAAATAGTCAAACTTTCATAACTTTGAAATTTTTACAGATAGAATTTTACCTATCTTACCATACATGGCATTTTGGGGCGCTAGTTGTGGCGCACCCTGTATTAATTGGTGCTCTACTAAGCAAATAATTTAAAAATATTACGTTTAAATAAAAAATTAACAATTAAGTAGGCAGGTTTTTAAGATTCTCAAAAAATTCATATAAAAACCCTCAGATTTTTACTATGTCCTCATACAAGTTTCAAGACGGACGTTTCAAAAATAGCTGAAAAAAAATTTTTCAGGGCGTGCAAAGTTCATATAACACTGGAATCGCCTGAAAGTAGCGTTTCCATGGAAACTATTTTTTCGCGTGCTATATTCTGTTTTTTTTTTTATTAAACAGAAATGTCAAACAGTCTTAACGTTGGCACCCCTAACACGGTAATTTTAATAAAAGAAGTTGGCAGTTCCGGTTTTTGTTTTAATTAAAAAAAAATGCCATTAAACATCAGCAAAAAAATCATTTAAGAAAATTTAGAAACGAAAACACAAAAACGTGGACAAATTGAGTCCCCCGAACAGTTTTTGGAAATTTGAAGACGAAAAGTGTGCAAACAGAAGTCAGAAAAAGACCACCGCTAATATTTAGACGCAATTTGTAATGCAGGTTTGCTAAACATTCTCTAATTTTTAGTAAGAAATTGATGAGAATACAACATAAACATCAAAGAGAAAGAACGCAAATAAATTAGTAGGTCTGGTTGCACCATTTTTGAATAGCGAATTGAAAAAGTAACAATTTTGGAACTAAAGAGAATTTGAATTCTCTTCTGTTTAGACACCCTTTTTTATCAAAATGTTTCTTGAAGCTCATTTTGGTCCACAATGTACAGTTGCGGAATTAAAATTTCGGGCAGTATTGTCATTTTCACAAAGTAAACTCTAAAACAACCTTTACATTAATAACTTAATTTTTTACTTTCCTTATCCTATAAGGAAAGTATTGTAATCGGCTGAAATTTGACCTACCCAGATTTTTACAATTATAGCTTCAAGACACCAAAAAAGTTGGTTTGGGCCATTGGGTCGTGTGTGTGTGTCTGTCTGTAAACAGCATATCTCGAGAATGATAAGAGCTAGAAACTTGAAATTTGGTATGTAAGTTATTTGTTATACGGTTGAAGATTATTTAGAATCATGAAATATACCTTATTAAACAGTAAAATGTGATAAAATAAAAATTATAATGGGTACCGAACTAAAAAAAATTGCACCCCAGACTCGAACCCGCGGTAACTATGATCTACTTCGTGTGTAATCCGGCAGGTGGCACTAAAGCAAACGTTAGGTTTACTACTCGGATTTCCAAAACCGTAAGAATGTTTTCCAAATAAGTTGGATAAGGAAAGTCGTGTGATGTTCACACCAGAATTTTACTCTTGTCATTTTGACTTAAAAAACAGCGTCACTGACAGAAAAGTTCAATTGTCAAATGTCAGTCATGATGTCTTTGGACATTAGATAGTGATGTCTGTCCTCAGGTATTCGATTATAAAGGCTTACAAAGAGCAAACAACCACACAACATTCATAAAAGTCAAAATTTTGACATCATAACATGAAAACATAACCATAATTTTCTAGGGACCATGGCCTACTTCATCTGTCTTCCGCTGCGCTCCATACGGCCGTAACATAACGAGCCAAAAGTCAATTCTCTTAACCTCAAAAATATCGTCGAAATCGTCCGGTAAGTAGTGCCATCTACTTGGTTAACTGAAAACTTTTTAATTCATATTTTGACAGTTCTAAATTAGAAATTACCTGCACCTCATTCAAAATTCCTTCTTTTTAAATTAATTTGTTACTGAAACGTTTGTCGAAGACTGAAACGACAAATTTGGTCGGCCAAATGCGTGCTGAGGTAAAGTAACAGTTTTTTGGTGCTGGCAATCCTCTGGAACAAGTAGCTATTTCCATTCTAATTCCAAAAATTTTTTGGAAAACTAAGTCCGATAATAGAGAGGGTTTATATCATAATAAGACAGAAACTCGAATATGAATGTATATTCGAGAGCATTCTGTCTATTACAAATAAGCAGTAGGAACTTAGGTAAATGTTTTTATTAATTTTTGTTCATAGAATTACCACAAAGTTCCGGAGTATTCTTTAACCATTCAGCACGAGCTGCTATATCGCTAAGTATTTCAAATAAAGTATCTTTTTCTCTACAAACAAAACATTTCTTGCCGATCTTTGAACTTTTTAAAAGAATGATTGAAAATTTGACAAAAATTGTCAAATTTGAAATATCTATAGTCTTTAAGTTATCAAGTAGATGACGCTTGTTACCGGACGATTTTTTGAGGTTAGTAGAATTCAACGCATTCATATAAAATCGACAGTATGTTACGGCCGTATGGAGCGCAGCGGAAGACAGATGAAGTTGGCCATGCTAGGGACAAAAACAAACAAAATTTGTGGCTATGGAGATAAGCTGCTACCAATTTTTTCACCAAAATTTTGACTTGATAATTTCCATAAAAAAAATCAAACTTTGCATATCTTAAATTTACGAAAATCGAAAACAATGAGATTTAGAAGTGATCGTTTTTGCATATAAGGAAAATCTCAGTAACAAAACCAAGCAAGTAAATTTTGACTTGATTTTTCAGTCACTAAACTTTATGCATAATTACCATGGTTTGTCGTCGTTCCTTGCATAGTGTAGGTTTTTCCAGATCCGGTTTGTCCATAAGCAAATACACAGACGTTATAGCCGTCCAAAGCTGACTGAACGAGTTGGGAAAGTTCTTCAAAAACTTCAGCTTGGTTTGCTTCTGGAGGAAAAACTCTGTCAAACGAAAATTCCTGCTTGAAGTCCATCGCCCGTCCGCTGATTGCATTAATGCTTTCTCGAGATTTTCTTATGTCCAGACTGCTCTCATTGGGGAAATGTATTGCACATAATTCGTTTTTTTCTATTTCAGTGTTAGTCGGGGGCCTGACTCTGCAGAACACCCGAATGTTTCCCTTGAGGTCTTGGATTGCGTTATGCAATTGTCTCCGATGGTCGTATTGGGCTTCTAAGTCCTCCTTTAAAATCAAATTAGTTCTTATCAACTCCTCATTTTGTCGGCTCAATTCAATATTTTGGCTTTGCGCCTCATTGATGTTATCTTGTAATGTGTCCAGTCGGTCCAGATTTTCCTTATAATTTTTTTTTAACAACTCATGCTCAGTTCTCAACTCATTGTAATCAATGTTGATTTTCTCTAATTGACTTGTTAAAGTCGAATTTTCGGATCGAATTTTTTCCAATACTTCTAAATTTTCTTTATGATTTTCTTGTAAAAGTTCATGGCGTTTTTCCAAGTCATTGAAATCGTTTGTAAGTTTAAGTAATTGGGTACTTAAATCGCTGTTTTCTCCACTAAGACGTTCTTTTTCTTGCCGCCATAATTCCTCCCGATGTCCAAATGCTTGTAATTGCTCCTTTTGGTTGCTGTTTTCTTGGCGCAGAATCTGTACTTCTTCATCCAATCCTTCAAAATCTGAAATCGATTACAATAATTACTTATTGTAATTAAAACTTGACAGGAAACTTACTTAATATTCTCGTTTTCATTTCATTAAAACTCCCCACTAACGTCGTGTGTTTCTTTTGTATTTCATGAAATCGGGATTTATAATCCCAATCAGGGATCTTGACTTTTTGGATTTTTGGTTTGTTTTCCTGATCTGTTTTTTGTGTCGCTGGCCGTTTTTGTCCCGTTCTTACTAAAAGTGCATTGTTTTTTTCTGTTTGTTTACTTGATCCTGGTCTAACGTTAGTGAGTAGTGGCCTCGAAGCCAAAGGATTAAGGTGGGGTGTAGATTTCGATCTACGAAGACCTCTCCTTGCAGCAACGTTTACAGCCGCGTTTTCGGTGGTTTTTACAGTACTGGTTTTATTCTCAGCTACTGACAAATTTTTGTGGCTCCTGGTAGGAGGTTTCAGCAATGATGGAAGCTTAGGAATTTTGGAGTTTCCAGCCGACATGTTTATTTCCAGTCTAAAAAGATAAATTCGCTATGTAAGTTTGTTTTTTAATTAAATGGAAATGTCAAATAGTCGTAACGTTGGCACCCCTAACAAATTTGTTCATGGTAATTTTAATAAAAGAAGTTGGTTTTTGAGTTAATTTAAAAAAAATGTCATTAAACGTCAGCAAAAAAAATCGTCTAAGGAAATTTAGAAACAAAAACACAAAAACGGAGACAAATTTGGTACCGCAAACAGTTTTTGGAAATTTGAAGACAAAAAGTGTGCAAATCAGAAAAAGACCACCACTTAAATTTAGAAGAAATTTGTATTGCAGGTTTGCTAAATGTTCCCTAATTTTTAGTAAGAAATCGATGAGAATACAACATAAACATCAACGAGAAAGAACGCAATTAAGTTAATAGGTCTGGTTGCACTGTTTTTGAAAAACAAGTTGAAAAAATAACAACTTTAACACAAAGCCGAAGAATTTAGAAAATGCATCAACTTTGAACTAATTTCAATAAATTACACAAAATTTATTGCCGATATTCAAAAACGCTGCTTGTATCTTTTGCAAAATAACTTTTTCTGTATAGACACCCTTTTTTATTAAGGCTGTTTGTGAATTTAAGAAAGGCTTGTAACTGAAATTAAAATGTGAAATGATTGTCGCGTTCGTCTCTGCCTGCACTATTAGTTAAAAAAAAAGACAGTTTTGTTTTTTCATTGTTTGGAGCAATAAAGGTTTAGAAATAGTCAGAGTTAATAGAGATGAGAAGTTTTGGAAAGAAAAAATGCTTCCAAAGTTAAAAAAAAATTATATGGAAAACATGTTACCTCTTCTGGCTTTAAATGAAATTAAAACTTTAAAATAAAATGCATTATGTAAAGTGTGTCTAAATAAATTTCTGGTCAAGAGTGCCCTGGTGTCAAAAAATTGCTTAATATTTATCTGGTATTTAAATTTTCATTGTTTAATTTTAAAAAGGTGAATTTTGACGATAGAATTAAAATAAAGAGTTTAAATGTAAGATCTTAATATTGATACAAAACAGTTGTTGGGACTTGTTTATAGCAATTTTCACCAGAAACTTATTTGAACACATTTTTTTTTTTAATTTTATAAAAACGTTTATTAAATAAATATATCTATTTTTTATTATACCATACATTGTTTTTAAAACTAACACTAACAGTGCACCTATGATTATCCAAAGTAATTTGTAAAAAAATTAATTATAATTACTACTTTGATAAAAAAAAATTACCATGCTAACAATTTTAACAAAACGGAAGTAGGTACATTTACGGTGAAATAAAAGTGACCACTAATGTACTTTATTCTGTTTTAAATTGGTATTAAATCACCTGAAATTTTTCTAAATATCAAATTTAAAAATAAAAAATTACAAATATCTGTCATTGAAATTTTCATTTAAAAGTCTAATAATATGCCACAATTTAAAATGTTATACTAGTGGTCGCTTTTACTTGGCTGTGACTGTACATACTGTTTTTATTTTTAAATCGAAATTAAATCATAAAAATTTCCGAATCTCTGACAGCGTTTACACAAAATACAAAAAGCTTGTTATTTTTAATTTTTTTCTACTACATATTGTTAATTATTTCTAAATCAAATTTAAAAAAAAACATCAAATTAATTTAATAAAACTTCTGGAATCATGAACAACGAAATGTAAAAGTCAACTAAAACATTGTAAATTGATAAAAATAAATTGGATACTACTGCATAATTATGTATATACAGGGTGCGCCAGAACTCGCGCCCCAGAGAAAATTTCCAAGTAAGATAAGATACCAGGAACATGAAAAAAATGTTTAAAAAATTCTATCTGTCAAAAAATTTTGACATTTATTTTTTGACATTTGACATTTTTTTATGTCTATTTAATGATACTGATGATCTTGTATATGTTTTTTTACAATTATTTAGTAAAGGCACAAAAATTTTGCCAATAAAAGCCACAAATAACATTAAACAGAGTTACAATTTAGGATACAACTTCTTTGTTTCCTCTTTTAATAGCCTATAGCAAAAAAACTTGTAAAATTATTTTTCTAACAGAAATAAATAAAGTCAAAAAGCAAACTTTAAACCCTCATAACTTCGAAATTTTTATAGATAAATTTTTTTTAACATTTTTTCCATGTTGCTGGTATCTTACCTTATATGACATTTTTCTCTGGGGCGCGAGTTCTGGCGCACCTGTATATATAATTTTACTCATGAAGAATCATTGTGCATTTTATTAATTTTGTCGCTTCCGATATTTGAGAGGACCCTTGAATCATTCACAATTCGGACCATAAGCTACTTAACACGTGCGCTTAGCTCCGCCTCCATCCTCGCTTGTATCAAAGCAGCTTGCCGTAAATTACGAAAAAAATTATAAAATATTTTTGATACTTTTTGCATTAATAGCGTTAAACATTTTATATACAAAATGTTCATTAGTCATAAAAAAACAATATTTTCAGAGGACGAAAGCTATTTTGAGTTTAACTAATTATTTAAATAATTAATAAATATATTTTTTTTAGATTATAAAAAAATGTTTCGTAGTCCGAAAGTCCTATTAATTATAAAGTTGTAAAAAAATTGGTTCATTTATCTTCAAAAATAAGGTTTAAAAATATCAAATAAAATTCACATCAAGAACCAACAGCCTTAATGTTTTAGTAGTAAAAAGCTCATTTTTGTCCACAACACTGTACTTACAGTGTGGTTCTATAAATATTATTAGCACTGAATTTTGTCTTTGGACATTAGGTAGTGATGTTTGTTCTCAGGTATTCGATTGTAAAAGCTTAGAAAGAGCAAACAAGCACACAAGATTCATAAAAGTCAAAATTTTGACAACATCAACATGAAAACATAACCATAATTTTTTAACAAAATTTCTAGGGCTTGGTAATTTCCATTTAAAGAAAAAACAGACTTTAGTAGTAGTCAATGTCTGAATTAACTTTCATTTTTGAGATAAACACGCAAATGTATCAAAAATAATTGGGCACTGTTAAATTTCGTGAAATTAAATTTAGGTATAAATGTCATTTTAATTAATCACATGAAATGAGAGAATATCGTCGGTACACTTGTACAACCTTCTAAGTCCGATATCAGTGGTCCGATTTTCAGTCATTTAGATTTAGAAGGATTTACAAGTAAGCCGGGAGCGCAGCCTCAGTAAACTCCACAGGGGCAAAGCCCCCATATGACTGAAAATCAGACTTTTTTACAAGTAGGAAATGATAAGAAAAGCGTTCTTCATACGACCCACGTAGTGGCAAAAAGTAAAAATCAACAACAAAGGAACAAAATAATTTTGCAGCAAACAATTTAAACATTTGCAAAATTCGATTACAACTTTATCAAGTTGAGCACAAGCTGCTGGGGATAAACGCCACACAATTTTGGGGGTGGTATTTCTGTATTATAACCTAATTTACAAATAAGCGTATTATGCCTAAAAAAACTTGGCGATAACAGAATCGTTAAGTAATTTGTATAAATAATTCATAGTTTTTTTCGTGTTCAACTATGTATAATTAATATAAACGATGAGATAACAAAATAATAAATAAACATCAAATTTCGAAGATATCTGACAAAATGTACTTACATTAAAGTTAAATAATTTAAAATAAGACTTACATTGTCCGTAATCGTACACCAACAACCACCGATAAATTTCTCTCGCCAGGTTTTGACGGTTCAGTTTCTAACCGTTACACGTTTCAATTTTAAACTGATGCTTCATTTTCATTGGCTATTTTTGAGTCATTCGGGAAACCAAACTGCGTATGTATTCGGTAATATGTAGCATTGTTGGTTGCCTATACCGATAAGCCAGTAACTAATATTTTGAGGAGAAAAAATTAAACGCTGTAAGTTTTTAAACTAAATGCTAAGTACATTTGTTAACTTAAAATACTAAACAATAAGTAAAAATATTAAATGCTAAGTGAAAATACTAATTGCTAAGTAAAAATTATAAACGCTAGGTTAAAATATCTACTAAACGCTAGGTAAAAATACTAAACGCTAGATGAACATAATCAAGCTTTTTTATTATTAATTATTACACAAAGCAGTTACAAAACAAAACGAAAAGAAAGGTAGGCAAATTAAATACAAACGTCAAATATTTTTGTTCAGTAAAAATAATAAATGTTCAGTAGAAATACAGTTAAATAGTATCGCCGTTTATTAACAAAATAAAAAGCAAGGCAATAAAATGAATGCAATTGTTTCGTTAAATAATAAATGTTCTGCAATACAATAATTAATACAGGGTGCGCCAGAACTCGCGCCCCAGAGAAAAATGCCTTATAAGGTAAAGTTCATAGACTTCAAGAAGGATATCGATAGGCGGAGCCAATGCGTACTCGGTGTAGTGGGGAAACTTGAGCAGTGGCGTAACACAGAACCATTCTGTGATAAAAAGGGAATTGTAGAGTTGCATTTTTTTTTTCGTATATTCATTGACTGAGATATTAAATATAAAAAATTCATACGATGCTCCACGATTATTTCAAAATACGGTGATATTAATTTCTGTATAAATAAAATACGAACAAACAGTAACGAATAGATTCGTTTATTAAAAATGTAAACATATTAAAAAACAATTTTTGTATCATAATTAATTTTAATTAATTTTTCAAAGTTAACATTTATAAGATGCCCCTGTTAATAAGTAYGTATATTAAACATTTTTTAGTGATGTTTTGTTTTCATACCTAGTCTATTGACTATGTAAGAAGATGAACCCTCAAATTCTTAGCGACCAATCAATGACTCTTGTAATAAAAAAAWTATATTAAAGAATTTTTTGWATTATCGACTTACTTCAAACAATCTCGGATTTTTAATTTGTCAAATTATYTCACTATCTCATAATCTTTAGACSTCATAATTTTGTTTCATTTTTGTCAATGTTTTAATTTTCGTTTGAAAGATATGAAAAAAAGTTTAGGCCCATACATCAAATCCAAAACTTTACAGTTGATTTCACAACATTATATTGCCGCAAGTACGAAGTTATCAAGTTATTATGTATGTATATACAGGGGATATTCCGTTTTTATTGTTACAAGTTAAATTTTAAGTCAAAAGTTTTCTATAAACATGTGTCAAGAAATACTATGTAAAAAAGCTATACCTGAAACGGGTGCGTTTTTAATAGGTTTTTAAATTACAACGTTTGGTATAGCTGGTAACCTTTACACCTAAACGAGATAATTAAAGATCAAATGTATACCTTAAAAAATGTGAGTACCTATAGAAATCGATTTATTTCTTGGAGTTATTGCATTGTGTTTTGTATTAACTTTTTATCATTTTTGTCAAACAAAAGTGTCTATTAAGTTGAAAGAGTTGAAAGTATAACTCTAATATCAGTTAGTGTTTCAAAAGTTATTTAACTTGCTTAGATGCCTTAAAAATGTTATTTATTAATAAAGTAATAAAATATTTTTATTACAGTATGTGGATTATTTGTTTTCCTCGAATAAATAAGTGCGAATACACGCCACTGCTCTCAGCTGATTTCAGAACTCCTCTATATTTACGAATGGAGTCGTCCGCGACGAGTTTTCGTCTTTGCCCATCCATTCCATCGATATCCTTTTTGGTTTCTATGAACTCTAAGATACCAGGAATATTGAAAAAATGTTAAAAAAAAAATATCTATAAAAATTTCGAAGTTATGAGGGTTTAAATTTTGCATTTTGACTTTATTTATTTCTGTTGGCAAAATAATTTTCCAAGTTGTTTTGCTATAGGCTATTAAAAGAGGAAACAAGGTAAATTGTAACTCTGTTCAATGTTACTTGTGGATTTTATTGGCAAAATTTTTGTACCTTTACTAAATAATTATAAAAAAACATATACAAGATCATCAGTATCATTAAATAGACATCAAAAATGTCAAATGTCAAAAAATAAATGTCAAAATTTTTTGACAGAATTTTTTTAACATTTTTTTCATATTCATATTATTTCACATTAGTTTCATATTCCTGCAAGGCCATAGATTACATAGATTATGATTGTTTTAAGTGATTTTATATAGGGTGAGTCAGAACTCCCGCCCGAGAGAGAGAGAGAGAGAGAGAAAGACATTTATTTTTTTACATTTTTTTTATGTCTATATTAATTATACTGATGATCTTGTATCGAGAGATCAAGATAATTTGTAATTGAGTCATTCTTGGATCCGAAAACGTATGTCAGTGAAATGTCAAATAAAATGACAAGTCAAAAGGTAAAATGGCATGATCAAAAAGATGGTGATTTTAATAACTAAATTTATGATTTAGGTACCTTATACGTCGACGACTAATTCACATAATTTCCGATACGAACTCGATTACAACTTTTGAAAAATTGGATAATCTTCTCTAGTTTGTTCACCCTTTCAAAAATTACAACGTTTCAGTTAGTTAGTGATTAAGATAGATAAACTAGAATCATATTCATGCCGTCTCTTGATAGAACAAATGATAATTGTTTCTGAAAAACTGCAGTTTATGACTATTAATGAAACAGTGATTAGTTTGACAACTACTGTCCTCGGTTTCCAAAAATTAAATAATTAAATGTGTATTTTTTGTATCCAGTATTCCGTGACTTTTGTATATTTGGGTGCGTACATTAGGAGCAAGCCTCGTAAAGTTATGTGAAACACCCTGTATGTTTTTTAATAATTATTTAATGAAGGTACAAAAATTTTGCCAATAAAAGCCACAAATAACATTAAAATTTAGGAATTATTTTTCCAACAGAAATAAATAGAGTCAAAGTGCAAAATTTAAACACTCATAACTTCGAAATTTTCATTTCTCTCGGGGGCGCGAGAGCATTTAAATTATCTTACCTAGCAAATCTTATTTTAATACTTAGCATTTTATTTCTAGCCTTTTTTGCGTACATAAGAGTAGGAGCTGGAATAGAATAATTTTTTCATTATTTTTGGAGTTATAAATTATAATGAATAGATTTGCCATTACTTGTAATATTTTTAATTTTTAATTGGATTGCCCCTTCAAAATAAAATTAAAATAAATAGGAAAAGTAAGTAGTTTTAATCAGTTGACAAATACATGGAACAGTTTTGAGAACAATTATTTTTATTTAATTTAACAAACATTTACATGATATGTCTATGTAGAGCATGATATAATATGGATAATAAAGAATAATTTATGCGTTTCTTAACTGACAGTATGTAATTTTATGTACAAAATGTATTTCATTTTATAACAATAATGTTTATACAAAATATTTAATGTGCAGTCTCTCGCTTTTTAGCATTTGTGTTTTATCGTTATAAAATTAACCAAAATTAAAATTTGCGCGATTGTCTATAAGCATAGATGCAAATCTATTGATTCATCAGTTTATTAATAAAATATTTTTTTTATAAAAACTTAACTGTACTTAACTTAATGAAAAAAAAAAAAGGTGGGATAAAGATGAAAGAAGAGATACAATCAAACAAATTTATAATTATTATTTAAAACAATGAAAAAGATGCTGGGAATGAATATGTGGTATAACATTCTGTGCTCTTATATGAATTTTATCATCTATTGCAACTACCATAGTATAATACCTGTTTTTCTGTAAAAAAATCAGCTAAATAATACAGGTATTATTCATGGTAAATGTGGAACAAAATCAGCTATGGTATTTTCTACAAAACGTGAAAAACTATATTACAATCCTCTCATGACTGATGATTTAGTATGCAGCGATTGACACGAACAACAAGGGCATCTATCACACCAACATCTCTAACAACATTACTCGCACAATGTATGTAACATTTTGTAATAAAAAATAAACAATCTCAATATAAATATAAAAGTGCATGTTGAAAAAATATGTTGGTATAGGTGGGATAGGTGTTATTTTTTACATGAAATTCAATGATTTTTCGATCGATTTTAAAGCACTCTACTTCGCCTTTCATTGGCATACTAAATCTTTTTTTTCAAAACAGTTGAATGCGCAATTTCACGGTAATAAAATGATTATTCACAAAATAAAGTCATGTAACAATATTCTTACACTCTTTGCTTAAAATTAATGTAATCACAGACAAAAATAAGCTTGGCCAGTCGTAATTTCTTATGTTTTCTCTTTGCGCTTGATTTTAAACAACCTCTCCGCTTTGGGTAAAATATTTGTTTTGTTGGAAAGCAGCGAGGTTGTTTAATATATTGCTGAATTCATTGACTAACTTTTAATCCACTCACACAACCTTTTTTCACTATGCAAGTCTTCGGGAAATTCCTTCGTGTTTCGTAATAAATGTTGGCAATCTGTGGCTATTTATAATTTGATTAACACTTAGGGATTCACTGCAGCTAGAAGATAACGGTAATTCCGTATAAATCGCATGACATTAGCCTTCCTATCTTCAAAAACAGAACAACTCATATATCACTTGTGAATCTCTGCAAGATGCATTAGCTGCTTGCACTAAACATTGCGTTTAAAAGTCTTAAAATTGGTTTATTAACATGTGACTTTTTAGAATATAATTGTGGCAAAAAATAACAATGCATTTAGTTTAAAAATTATTTCTAAGAATGTCATAAATGTCTCCAACAACAAAGCACTTTGTTATGCACCATCTTTATTATTTTTCGTGGGAATTTTGGACGAACGTCACTCCGTGTTTCCGAATTATCTTCCATATTAACAGTTCTTCTAGTTTCAAACTTCGAAATTCCTGGCCGTTTCTATTCGTACTAAGTCTAGGGAATGATTCAAATTCCTGAAATCAGAAAAAAAAATTAGAAAACGTATTATACAATAATAATAATACTGATTTATTTATTGTATTATTACAACTACATTGTTCAAAATTGTAAAATATGGAAATTTTATAGCTATTTAAGAAATTTATTCGTAAAAAATTGCTACTTTGCCTAGGACAACATCAATTTTTCGATTCAATTCATTGATATAACGAAGGTAACGATATTTTTTATTATTTTATAAGGTTTTAGTTAAGTTTTAGTTATTTTTCCAAAGTGTACAATTTTGAATGTGGAAACTCAGTATTGCTTTATTTAATCTAGCCGATCTTAAACGATAAAATTAATGTTAACCCCATTTTCACAAGAAAATCTTGATAAAATTGATAAATTCGTTCTAAAAATAATATTTACAATAACACCAAAAACCGATTTAGACAATTTCAGTTTTTGTAAAAACACATATTTCTTAAAAAAGTTCAGTAAGCTTGATAATGTAATTCTTAGTATTTTTTTTTTAACTTTTTACGGTGTATAATATACAGGTGCCCCAAAAATCGCGTACCAGAAAAAAATGCCAAGTAAGGATAAGATACTAAAAACATGGAAAAAATGTTTAAAAAAATCTGTTTATAAGAATTTAGAAATTATGGGGGTTTATATAATTTTACATTTTTTTGCAGGCTATTGGAAGGGGAAACAAAGAAGATGTATCCTGAATTGTAACTATGTTTAACGTTATTTGTGACTTTTATTGGCAAAGTTTTTGTACTTTCACTAAATAATTATGAAAAAAACATACAAGATCATCGGTGACAATAAAAAGTGTTAACATTTTTTGACAGAGAATTTTTTAAATATCTTTCGCTACTACCCGGCAATAAATATTGTATACTACCACGTAGTGCTTCGTTGTAACATAATCTTATATTTTTAGTAAATTTTTACAAGAACTCTTTTTTGCTTGCATTTAGATTTTAATTTTTTTTTAATTTAATAATAAGTATTTATATAAATAAACGTTCCCAACTGATAACAGTAACTTATTTAAATGTTTTAAAATAAATATTGTTATTTATTCCTTTTAAAATTAGTATTTGTTTTCGACTATGAGCATTTCTTGCAATCGATTTCATGATTAAAAAAAGTAAGAGTGATTAAATTAAGAATATTTTGTTATTTTAGGAAAAAAAACTGGTAAGTAAATGGTTAAGTTAGATATTTTCTGATTTATTTACTTCAAAACTCATTTGTAAGTCAAAAAATCTTGGGCGATAAGAGTTGATTAAACAAACCTACTGCCCCACAAATTTGTTTGAAGATATGACTTGCGGTTTAAAGTGTTTTGACCATGACCCATGTTTTTATCACTTCGACTTATCAGTCTAACAACAATTATTATTTATTATGTAGCGATTATATTTCACCTATACAGAGTAGTTTTGTTTTTACCAGCAAAAATTTAGGGACAGTTAGAACACGTGAAAATAATGTGAGTAAACAATTGTTCAAAAATTTAATATCTCCTAAACAGAGAGAGCTAAGTTCCACATTTTGCAACCACTCTAGTAATGACTAATTGACTATTATTTTCGGTGTATTGGGTGAAAAAAATTTGGCGCCATTTAATCTCTAAAGTCAAAGAAAAGAAGAAACTAAAATTCAAATGCTATTCAAAATGTATTTAAACATGGTGTTCTACTCTATTTTAAAGTTTATTATCCCATAAGCATATTTTTTGTTTACTGTTGATAAAATAAATCCTTTAATTCCTAACACAGTTTGGTCTTTTAACAGTTGTGTAACAACGTTCAAATGAAAATCTTCTCACGATGACTTTTGAAATAAAAGGTAAAGTCGCACTGATCTCTGGAGGTGCTTCTGGAATTGGTCTTAGATATGCCAAAGAACTATTGAGAAATGGTTTAAAGGTAAATTAATTTTTAAAGTTGAGTGTGATGCGATTTACATTTTAGGCTGTTACTTTAGCCGATATCAACAATGCATTTGGGCAAAAAGCATTAGAAGAAATTGAAAAAGAATTTGGACCAAGAAAGGCGATTTATGTTCAAACAGACGTAACAGATATGAAGAGTTTTGAAAGTAAATTCTAATTCACTTAATGTATGTAACGTATCATTGTTACCTTTCAGACGCTTTTAAAAAAACGATTGAAGTGTTCCAAAATCTCGATATTCTCATCAACAATGCTGGAATTCTCAATGATGCCATGTGGGAGAAAGAAGTAGCAATAAATATTGTAAGCAAATTAAATTAATTGAATTCTGTATTGGTTTTTACTTGTATAGAACGGGGTGATACATGGGGTTCTTCTTGGACTTGAAAACTACATTCCTAAATACAAATCTGGATCAGAAGGAGTTATTGTCAACATTTCGTCCATTGCTGGGATAAAAGAATTCAGTATAATTCCGATTTACAGTGCCACAAAGTTTGCTGTAATGGGAATGAGTAAAGCTTTCGGCGATGAAGACCACTATAACCGTACCAAAGTCAAAGTTCTAGCTTTGTGTCCTGGAGTTACTGAAACACCGTTAATTACTGAAATCAATGGGAAAAATTTAGGTCCGCCGTACCAAAAGTTGCTTGATGAAAACCTCAGCAAATTGCCCTCTCAGGAGTAAGTGTAAATTTTTAATTTCGTACATTATTGTATTATGATAATTGAAGACCCGAATGTGTGGCACGAGCAATGGTCAAAATTATCCAAAATGCAAAAACTGGAACGGTATGGGTGGCTGAGGGTGGCCAAGAACCTTACGAATTTATTTTGCCCGAAAGGGAAAGTTTTGCCCCAAAATAAATTTATAATAAAAACCAAAAACCTAACATAGTCGTAAGGGAGTAAGTATACACACAGGCTGTTCCGGGTAAACCCCAGATTAGAAGTACTGGGAGTTCTAACAGTGATATTTATCTAAAATTATGTTCATAGCTATAATCCGTTAGGTTCTGCTTGATGAAAATATTTTCAAGATGGTGGCACTTCCTGTTACACCGGAAGTAGATATCAACTTCGTTATTTTAAATTGAAAGTTATGTTTTTTATTGTGTTTTTGGATTATTCAAGTGATTTTTGAGAAAGTTTTTATTAGCCTTCCCTATTCCTAAGTTTAACCGTTTTCGAAATCAGGGTGATGAAAAAAAGGCGCCCACGATTGAAACAGGCGCGTTCTTTTTTATTGAAACATTGTGACCATCATTCCAAAAATAGTCTAAATAGATTTTTTTTTAAATTTACACAGTTTGTCTAACAGCACAAAGCGGCAATATTGCACAAATTTTTTTTACTAAAAAACTATTTCACTCAGGTATTTTTCGTATCTAGGAAACCTTTTTGACTTTAATCGTTCAAATTTCACAGAACAAACAACATTGAAAATTGATTTTTTTGTTGCCCGTTTCCAATAATTGAATATTACTTGGACATTTTCTATATCCTAAGATATTTGCAATGTTGCAACATTGATAAATTTTCTTTGGAGCCAAGAAATGGTATCCGAACATCTTCAATAAAGTTTATTTCAATAGACTTTTTACACATTTTTTTTAAGAACACCGTCAACAGTATCAAAATCTAGACTTTAACAATGAAATTATTTTAAAACTGTTAATTATATAGATTTCTCTTTTCTAAAAAGGAAAGTCTATATCTTACTGATAAGAGCACAAATCCAATTTTGGTCGTTGAATTCGTCTTTAATAAAAGATCACTTATAACGTGTGGACTAACATGGACGCCTTTTTTTCATCATACTGTATTTAGACCTTTTTAAAAAGTTTTGGATTTGAATCTTCCTATTCAAAAATCGATAACTCTACTATTTTTTATTATGTTGAAACTGTATTTGAGTATACGAGAGAGAAAATTTAAATCTTTTTTTTGGTGTATTCTTAACTGGAAAAATAATTAACAAACCGCCAAAAGGTAAGGTTACGTTTAGGAAACTTCAAGTACCCTTAACTCAAATTTTCTAAATGAAACACCCCAATTTTTTCTTCACTAAATGGAGGAGAATTTAGTTCTGCTTCGATCTGTATTAACATTCCTTAAACATATGGTTGATAGTTTTCAAGTTATAGTAACCTTTTTTGATATTGTGAGAAATTCATTGGCCATAGCTACTTTAGCATAGGATGTCATAGAAATAGGAAAAAAATAGAATATCAAAGTTATTCAAATTTAGATTAAATAAATTTAATTTGTATTTACGAAAAGAATAACACAATTGTGAAAAAAAAACTTGGCGTTTTTTCAGTGAGAAATATTTCCATGGTAAACTTTTCGAAAACTACCAGGGGTAGTAATGAATTTCTTTCATTGTAAAAAAAAAGTTAACAATAACATGGAAAATTAAATTTAGTTATAGGGAATGTTGATACAGATCGATGCAGAATTAAATTCTCTTTCATTGAAGAAAAAAAATTGAAAAAAATCAGTTACGGGTATTTGAAGTTTCCCAAACGTAACCTAAACTCTTGGAGGTTTGTTATAATTATCTTTCCAATTATAAATAACGAAAGAAAAGATCTAACCTTTCTGTTTCATATGTCTATAAATACAATTTTAAAATAATTAAAAATGGTTGAGTTATCGATTTATGGAGAGGAAAATGCAAATTCAAAGTCTAAATATTTCAAAAACGGTTAAATTTAGGTATAGGGAAGTCAAATAAAAACCCTCTCAAAATCACTTGAGTAATCCAAAAAACGCAATAAAAAAACATAACTTTCTATTTAAAATAACGAAGTTGACATTCATATTTTCATATTTTCATTGTGCAGAACCTAACCAATTATTGCTATAATAGAAATTTTAGATAAATGTCACTGTTAGAACTCCCAATACTTCTAATGTGGGGTTTAGCCGAAACAGCCTGTAGTATGGGCTCATTGTTTAAAAATAAAGAACTACTTGTGTATTTTATTTTTCCTTTAAACTTGAATTGAACAACACTAGGAAATATTTGATGTTTTTTACCTTTGAATGCTACGAGGACGGATTGGGTCCTTTGGAGATGGAGTTCCCGGGCTGCCTTTGTGGCGCAACAACCACGGTAGGATGAAGAAGCAATCTGGTTTCTTCGTTGGGCGAGCTGTCATCCATGGGGGGAGGTGGAGGACAGATATACAACGGCATATCACCAACACTATCACCGCACTCTTTCAATTTATTCGAATCGAGCACTGGTTCTTTACACGATTGTTTCTCCTTATTTATAATATCGTCTAACAAAAACAGCTGCGACTTTAATGTCCTGTTTTTCTCGGTATCCTGTTGGTAATAGGGAGGAAAATTTTTCGTTAGAGTTTTTTGGCTGAGAGCACGATGCCTCATCGGAGGAGAGGAAAGTCGTTTGTTTGGAGAATATTCGCTACCGGAACCGATTTCATAACCGGACATATTGTCGGAGATTAAACGCTCGCTTTCCGGATCCGCGTTGCGGTTTCCGCTGCTGTCCGATTTTTTCAGGATTGATTTTGAACGACGATGATGTTCTAATTGCGGACTGAGACGGCTGTCGATCGAATCCACTGACAGCGATGATTTACTGCCGCTGTTTTTGCCTGAAATTAAACCAAAACATGGGCTATAAGCATCAGTTGTATCCAAAAAATCAAATTTTTTAAAATCTTTCTGCTATAAGTCCGAAAGTTTCTAAGATAATTGCGTTTAAAGTCTTGCAATTTCCAAAATTTGCGACGAAACTATATATTAGACCTAGAGCAGAAAGTTTAACATCATCGTAATTAGCGTGAAAAAATCTATCAATTGCCAATACCAAGTCAATATTTTAAATTTTTTTTAATCTTTAAATACACATTACGGCGAAATTAAAGAAGATTAGTAATTAGGCACGTCAAAATAAGTCAGACAAGATAGGTTTAAACCAAGTCTAAGATATGCTCAAAAAAGGCAATTAAGGGAGAGTCGGAGAGTGTTTTTATTTTGTTAATTTCGGCTAAAGTTTATTATTGAAAACGGTTTATGTTTTGTACTTAACCTATCTATGTACAGTGTTCCGAGAAGTCGATTGGTGTCAAGAAAACCGCAAAACTGTTAATAGTTTAGAAGTTATTGTCGAATTAATATTTTTGTTATTTTAGTCTTTACCAACAATTTTCATAGGACAATAATCTTTTTTTATAAAATAGGTAATTAGAATTGCTTTCCAACGGTATCAAACATAAAACAGTTATCTATAATAATTTCAAAGTTATTAGCTGATATCTAAAGTACAATCAGCGTAGAAAAGATTGTCCTCCTAATTCCATTGTAAACCTCATTTCATATTTAACAGTATACAAGGTGATTCACGAGGAATAATGAGCCTGACCAAATTTTCGATGCAACCACCATTACTTTTCGCAAGTTATTTTGCGACAACTGTGATGTTGGTTGCATCGAGAATTTGGTCAGGCTCATTATTCCTCGTGAATTACCCTGTATTCAGTTTGAAGTGAAGCTTAGTTACCGATATTACTTTCAATTGAGAAAATAATTAAATATTTTGAAAAATTAAATTAAAAAAATTATTTATTTTATTTATTTACTAAGATAACCAGTAAATGCCGTTTAGATGGCATAATTAAATAAACAATATTATTGTTAGTAATACCTAATAAAAACCATTTATCATTAGGAATTAAAATGACCAAATCTAACCAGAGGCAATTTAACATAACTCTTTTGGTAATTTGATAGCTTAATTCTTTTTAATAAAGTTGCATTTGACAAATTAAATAATTTCATATCATTTTCATTCAATCCAAACAAGCTTTGACAACAAACACATCGATTTTCTAAATATGTGACAATTTAATTTTACTATAGTAAACAGAAGGGAATATTAAAAAAAAATAGTTATTTATTATACAAGACGATAAAGAAATTGTTTATCTACAAGTGAATCGTGTTTTTGTTCATCGTTTCCATACCAAGAGGACCCAAGAAGAAGAACGAGTGAAAAGGTTAAATTTGCGAGTGACGACGTCACGAGTATAATATTTCGTTTTATTTTGTACTCACCCACCAGAATTTCTTGAAATATAAGCAGTAGATAAAAATTACTTTATTTCACTAGACGATAAAAGATTATTTTATCTACTGAAATTAGTTGATAATAGCACTCTTCAACATTGAGTACAAAATAAAAGTAGATTATTTATTATGTAGTAGGTGTTTTTTTTTTCTTATTACAACAGTGTTTGTTTTATTCGTATTCAAAATTAAATTGCAAATATTATTGTATTAAAGTTAAAAGTAATTTTTTGGTAATAATTTGTTTATTAATAGGGTAGACAGTTTTCCAATGGTTATGAATTTTTTTTAATACACAAAATAAAAGTTGATTAACTTAGTTTTAATAAAATAACTGAACTGAACAATTATTCGTCAAAACAAATTCGTAAATTTGTTACAATTGCTTTGCGATTGCAATATCTTGGTTGCTAACATCTCAATAGTTCAATTTAAATGTAAAGGTTGCCATGAGTTCAGAAGAGTTAGCAGGTCTACCTGTTTGAATTGAATAAAAATTAATAATGAAATTATTTCATTTATCATTTACAACTTTTTCAAAAAAAAATAAGAATCAATATTTTAAAGAGTTATATTAAATAGTCTCATTTGGTCATTTCTAGTAATAGATGGTTTTTTATTAGGTATTTCTAATAATTATATTGTTTATTTTGCCATTTAAAACAGCATTTACTTGTTATCTTGGTAAATAAATAGCTAATTAAACATAAATTAGAATAATTTTTTAATTTAATTTTTAGTTATAGTATAAAGTTGTGATTTTTTAAAAATAATTTGTTATTTACCCAATTGGATGTAAAATCGGTAACTGAGCTTCACTTCAAACTTAATATGTATACTGTTGAATAAGAAATGACGCTCACAATGGAAAAGATAAAAGTTGCTCAAAATTTTGTCAAAAATCGAAAAAAATAAAAACTTCAAAATTGAACCAAATGCACTCCTAGTGGTCCAAGAGACTCAGAAAAGTACATAAAATGTTATTGGAACAGGTATAGCAAAAACCTATTTTCTTCAGTTTTTTCAAGTAAAAAATTGTAAAGATGGTCAAAACACTTTTTGTGGTAAAAATGCTTAAAATATAGTCTTCTAGACGTAAAATCATTCGCTGAACACGATGCAACAAGTTAAAATGCTCTACGATCAATAGTTATTAAGATATTGAGTAATACATGATGTATTAAATAAAAATATGTTACAACTTCTTTCTTCTAATACTTTCTAATACCCACCTTGCGTGTGGTTGTCGATTTAGTTCTGTTGAATGAAATGAAAATCTTTTAAAAATACCTTAGGTGAAACGCTTCAATTTAATTTATTGACGCATGAAACTCTTAAATCACGGTTTGCAATTCTATTACGAGTACCGAAATTGTGTTTGACAAACAGGACGAAATTATTTGTGCAGTTGTGGTGTTGTGCAGAGTTTGCGGTCAGAGTTTCAGAGATTTACCTTTATCACGACCTACAAAGCGGAAAAGTTCTCAGAAAAGTTCATGTTTGAGAAGCCGCAAAAGTGGATGCGATATTAAACGTCGAGATGTTAACTTTTCTGATGTTACAATTTCAAGTAGAAAGGAAATGTTGCAAACAAGACATCGCGCCTTATTACGTTTTTTGTGAGGGAATTGAGTTCCGCAGGTGTTTTTAATTCATTTTCTTTGAATAAACTAATTATTGTAATGTTTTATTGTTCAAGGGTATCTTGTTTATACATTTGAGGACCTAAAAACAAATGTGTGATCTAATTCCAGATCGTAAATCAGGCTCAAAATGGAATGATAAATTATTTGAGTCAAAATACAGAAACTGGAAAAAATGATGTTCCACCAATAATAAAATTAATGTGTTTTCCCAGAGTCCGTCATGCCATACAAATTATCTTTTTCTTCTTTGAAAAAAGAATGAAAAATTGAGAACAAAGTTGTGTGGCATAATTTTAACCACACTTTTCTATCAATGATAATAAGTATTTAGCATAGTATTCATTAAAAGTTAACAAGAAATGAAAAATGACAGATTTCCTAATATGTTTATGGAAAATGGTTTTCTGAAAATATTTTGTTTATCATTTATTCGTTTATTATAAAACTTGTCAAGCAACTAGATAAAAAGACGCTCTTCCACGTGATATAAACAGAAGTCTTGTGAAAGTTTTCATTTCAGATGACAAAGAGCTCCTTACATAACATATTTCAACTAAAAGAAAACATACCACACTACAATGCACTGTTTTTAAATTAATACGTTGAAAGCAAAATCTACAAACGACTGTAACACCAGAAAAGATAAATTTTAATCGTACATTGAAACAAAGCAGTGTTAAAACTAATTAGAAAAATCAACTAAAAAAAACAGTATTCAATACATGCATTTAAGGTACGCATTTTTTGAAATCAGGAAATTTATTGTTATTCAGCCTGTGCGTCATAATAAAAAATATGATATTACAAAAAATAAAAATTATCCCAGCACATCCACCATTTTTCGTATTTTTTAATTCCCAAATCGTTTGATTCATAAAAGTGTTATTTTTCGTAGAAATGAAAAAAAAAATTAAATAAAAAACAAAAATTTGAATCAACACCAAGTTCCAAAATTTTTACGTATTGCGCTTTTGCGCAATATACAGAGTGCGCCAGAACTCGCGTCCCAGAAAAAAATTTCATGTAAGGTAAGATACCAGGAACATGAAAGAAATGTTCAAAAAATTCTTTCTATAAAAATTTCGAAGTTTGCACTTTGACTCTATTTATTTCTGTTGGAAAAATAATTTTTCAAGTTTTTTTGCTATAGGCTATTAAAAGAGGAAACAAGTAAGCTGTATTCTAAATTGTAACTGTGTTTAATGTCAAATTTTTGTATTTTTACTAAGTAATTATAAAAAAAAACATACAAGGTCATCAGTATCATTAAATAGACATAAAAAAATGTCAAATGTTAAAAAAAAAGTCAAAATTTTTTGACAGATCGAATTTTTTAAACATATTTTCCATGTTCCTGGTAAATTATCTTACTTGGAATTTTTCTCTGGGGCGCGAGTTTTGACACACCCTGCATGCATGTTGCCAGACACCCTGCATACTGAAAAAATAAGTTATTAAAAAAAATCCAAATTCCCTTTTTTACACATTTTAAGTTTATTCCTAATAAAAACTATTTTTTTCTGAGCCATGTTATCTGTATGGCAATTTTGATTATACCAGTCCAAAAAAAAAAATGTCAAGAGTTAAATGGAATGAAACAGAAACATTTGCCGATACGTTCTTTAGATGAAATTATAATCTATAACATTAAAAGTTCTAAAAAAATTACTACAAGTGATCAAAGATTTCGCTGTAGGAATAAATTTCTTCAAATAACACAAATATTTGTTCGATTTTTAAGAAAAATTTGTTTTCTTTGTAACATGTCTTTTTAGTTATGCACCAATAAAAATCCTTCTAGAATTTCAATTTTTTTATCTATTGTTAATGTAAATAAAATCAATAATAAATTGAGTTAATAGACATCTAGGAAGTAGACAATCTATTGTGGAAACGGTAATACGAGTAATACTGGTAGAAACGAATAACAAAGTTAGATAAAAAATTCAATAAAATCAAAATTTGCAAGTCTATATAGGCAAGCAGTGTGGCCTCTAACGTTTAGAAGAAGCTTCTGAATATATTTGATTTGATTAGCATTTGATAAAACTTTCCCAAAGTAAAAGTTTTCCGCCAAATAGTGAAGTTTATGCAGGTGTGCAGAAATAAAATGAATTTTAACAAAATTAAAACCGATTATAAAATAATACGTTTTCATGAAAATTATGATTTTGTTTCAATGAATTGATCTACTAATTTTTTTATAACTGATTTAAATTTAGTTATTTTTTATGATAAACATTTTTTTCTAATTAATTGGCTTAAGTAACAGTTTTCTGGCCCAAAAGTTTTTAAATGTTAAGTCACCACAATTAACTCTGTGATATGATTTTCTGCTCGATAATAAGATTGCGATGTTATATTTTCCGTTATTTCCCTAGCTAGAAACTGATGAGTTGTGACAATGCCAAGAACTAAAGTTTTTGATTGGATTTCGTCGATTTGCTGTGTCATTTCACCGAAATAGACATTTTTATGAAATGTAAATTACCTGATCTTGATCCACTCAAATTCTGCAGACCAAATAAATGCTGATTGATAATCCTGGTGGCCGATGCTAATCCTCTCGTTGGAATAAACGAAGTCTTCTTCCGTTTCGATTCGAGACTTTCTTGAGAATCTCGTTCAAAAGCATCGCCAAATCGGGTACGGGGACGTCCGCTCTGCACAAATCAAGATGAAACATATTACGATGAGGAAATGGTGTCGAAGTAAATTAATTGCTATCGATAACTGGGCACAAAGTGTCGACATATCACCTCATATGTTATATCGATTTCATAATAGATAACCAGGAAGACAAGTTATTATTATCAATCATTCCCCTCTGCCACCAGGAAATGGTATTTTCAAAACATGTTTAGTTCGCTCTGACAGAAATGATTTATTTGTGATGAAATATTGATATAATTTGGAGAAATACATAATTATCTATAAGAAAAGAGTTGTAGAATACATAGTCGGAATAAAAGTTTTGATCTAGTCTCTCTTATACAGGGTGTTCAAAAAATCACTGTGTCATCGGGCGGTGCCCTAGACAACAAGAAAAATGTTAAAAAAATCTATCTCTAAAAATTACGAAGTTATGAGAATTTAAATTTTGCACTATGAATCTATTTATTTCTGTTGGAAAAATAATTTTCCAAGTTTTTTTGCTACAGGCTATTAGAAGAGGAAACAAAGAAGCTGTATCCTAAATTGTAATTCTGTTCAGTGTTATTTGTGGCTTTTATTGACAAAATTTTTGTACATTTAGTAAATAATTATAAAAAAAACATATACAAAATCATCAGTATCTTTAAATAGACTTAAAAAAATTTCAAATGTCAAAAAATAAATGTCAAATTTTTTTGAACAAAAACACGATTAGCCCGTCACACCAAACTTTTATTTTAATAGCACAACGCGTTTCGACCACAAAGTGGTCATCCTCAGGTGAGAATAAAACTAACTAATTTAACAATGGTAATGCCTTATATACTAATTTTCCGACTTTCACTTTCCCTACCCTCAACTAACGAGTAGAGGGGAGAAAAGGGAATGGGGCCGTTGTCTGAATTCATGAGATTATCTCTATTTTTAAATATT